AAACGTATAGTAATACTAATATCTATATTGATAGCATTACGATTTCCATCAATTATTTTTATGATATATGCAGTGGTTGTTGGACAATTATACCCATTAACATTTGGTATTGTTGGATTAATCACATCAGTGTGTATGATTTTTATGGGAATCATGATAGTTTATATAACACCACATTTACTAAACAATTTATGTATCTTTTTTACTTTCCGTCATAATCAAGTGAATGTACAACGGGTAACACAACATCAAATACCACAAAATATGACAGATCCAACAGTAGCAGGACGTAATCTCAAGGTTGCTCCTAAACAAAATAAATCATCAACCACGCGCAACCAAAATACTCCAGTGTAAATTATTGCTACGGATCATATATAGTCATACATTGTCGAACACTTCAATAACACTAAAGACAAAGGATCTATATTTGAAAGTTTTTCTAGGCTCAAAATAAAATTTCGAGCAGTTTTCATTATATCTTGTATTTATTATTGTATTCGTTCTATTTTTTTCGTATATAACCTATGATATCGATCTGAGAAAATTATTGTAGTTTATGTTGTTTCGTTTTCATTGTGGTTGTTATTTTTATTTTATCAAATACGAAATAAAACGGTTGTTTACTAATAGTAAATATTAAACTAGTGAAAAATATTGTTCATTTATTCTACGAGCAGTGTATTATATGAATATCACTATGAATCGTTGCAACGCAAAGTTTTATTAATTAATATAAATGTGATCATCTAGAAGTCTGGTCTCTTGAATGTATTGCCTTGAGAAAAAATGTATACATTTCCCGATAATCCAATAAATTTCTATTTTAGACTTGTCTTTATCTACTCATTTATTCAAAGATATTATTTGATATATCTACAACTATGTGATTGATAATCAAAATTGTTTAAAGCAACAGAAAACTAAGAACATCTATCTTAATAACATTAAAGAATAATGTTTTAAATTCAGCAGAAAAAAACATCTGAAAAACCTCTTCTCTATATCAAAGCTATGATTAAATAATTTTATTTTAAACAACTTTAATAACCAGAACACTGTTTGACTATTTGTTATCTATAATAATTCTTATAGAGTTATTTTCATAAATTATCGAGAAATTAATTTGAGCATGTTCGTAATTATACTGAGAATAAAATATATTCTTTTAATTTTATTATAAAAATAGATGTACTGAAAGTATGATGCATGCTTTTTTGTTCGTGTAGACAATTGTCCTTTTATCATAAAATTAAAAGTATTTGTAATTTATTTCTTAAGTAAATATTAATCAGTATACGTCAGTTTACTTCCGTGATGTTTCCTTGATTAAATATTTTTATGGAAAAAACTTGATTGATAAACGACAACATGGTCTTATATATTCACATATTAGCTTCTCATAATTTTTTTAGAAAAAGAGATATTGATGAATGAATCATCGAATAGTCACATTCTTTTTTTTATTTCTGTCCTATAATATTTGTTGTCAACATATATGATTTCAAAATTTTTGATGACAGAAGGTTTTGTATGCCTGACTTTTTTCTCTTCCGTCTCTTTTTTGCTTGTTGTCAAGTGGAATGAAAAACAATAAAACTCTATTAATAATTGATCATGTCAGTCTTCTACTGATTACATGAACTATTTCAAAAACACTATTTTCTTTCACTATAAATTTTCGATATATCATTGCCTTATGTAATGAATCACAAATTGATATAATATTGCGAAAAACAAACATATTATGAAGAAAATATTTTTATTCTCAATCAAATAACACATTTTCTTTCTTTCCTTAAAAATATTATTCGCTGACTTTCACATTAGAATATTCTCACTATGAGTACAAATGGGCAGGTAAGCGTAAGTGAACGAGAACGACGGAAGAAAAAAAAAAAAAATAATAATAAAAAGACGCACAATTGATTATGTCATCAGTAAAGCATGATCATCATTTATTTTGAAGAAAATTTTCTTTTTCTAAGGTAGTATTGACCTGTATTTAAAGATATGTTTTTTTCTAGATAGACGTTGTACAACAATGGATCAAGTTGATAATCAACCACGTCGTGGAGGATGCATGAAATTTCTCGGTGAATATAAAGCACTTCTTGTTAAAATGCTTATCTTGACCAAACGTAAGCGCAAACAAACTATAGCAGAATTTCTTCTTGCATATGTATTTGTGGCTCTTTTACTTGGTATGCGCTATCTTCTTGATCGTGATCATAATGGTCTTCGTCAAATACCACCATTACGACAATTACCAGAATTTCGTCCATTTGATACAATGTTAAGTAATAGTACAACAGCTAATATGACATATTATTATCCAAGTAAGTTTCGTTTCAATGATTTATTTAAAATATCTTATAAAAATTTATATAGACAATCCATGTACAACTGCTATTGTAACAACTGCTGTTAATAATTTAGTACAACATGTCTCTGGTTTTCCTAATGGAAGTATGTAAATTAAATAAAACAAAGTTTTCATAGTAAATTTTGTCTAAAATCAGCAAGAATTATATAGGATAACACTGGTGGAATAGAAATTAATATTTGAAACAAAAATTTTACATTTATTAGTTGTTTTATTTCATCGAACATTAGAGATTAGTTGGATAGTTTGTCACAGACTCATCTATTTCTAAAAATAACAATTATATGAGAATATAAACAGAAGATTTGTTATGAAGCTCTATAGACAAGTACACTATATCTATATAATAGATGGTAATAATTCATTCGAATAGTTAAGAGTAGTTCAAGCTTTCGTATTACAATGGATAGATTATTATCGATGAAACTGCTATAGACAATACTTTGTACTGAAGTTCGAATTTTCAGAATATGTATCTTAGATAGAATAGATTTCAATTCATACCTTAATTACATCTAAATCAGGAAAAGTCTTGTCTCGAAGTTAGAACTATTTTATATGTATAGTAATTATAATAATCATATTTTAGCTCAAGTTATTCCAGATTCGACTATTTCATCATTAACAGACGCACAAGTACAATCAATATTTGCATATATTTATTTTACTAATATTAATTCATCATGTACTAATCCATCATCAATGCCTGATCAAATTCAATACACATTACGAATGCAAGAGTATGATTTTAATATATAATATGAATTGTTTTTATCTATTATTTTCAATATAGAAATGGTCTTAACTTTTATTATGCTCAAAGTGTAAAGCCTGCTAAAAAAGATATTTTATGGAAACATGCACCTGAAGAGTATTGTCAAGGTAGTGATTAAAAATTTAAGATTTATTAACAATCATTATTACTTATTCTAGAGAATAGAACGATGGTTAATTATACAACTCAATTTTTAGGTGTTCAATATTTTATTGATTTATCAATAATTGAATATGTAACAAATATTACTCCGAGTGAATCAAGTGTTCGTTGATATTTTCTTTTTATTTATTTAAATAAATTTTATTTTTTTAGGTTTATATGAATCATTTCGAATGTCCAGATGTTTATGTAGATCAACTTCATTCTGGTTTTAATTTCTTTGTTCCATTATTTTTTTCTATTATTTATCTTGTTACATTCGTTTTAAATCTTGGATATATTGTAGAAGAACGTGCAAACAAAACTAAAGTAAAAACAAAATCAGCTATTTATTATTTGACAGAAAAGGTTTTGCTCTTGTATATTTATCAACCAGATGCTGCGAGAAAACATTCTTTAAATGAGCTTTTAAATATACTTATCACTCTTCAAACATTTCTAATAATTAAAAACATGAGTTATGCTTGAAAAATATTTACTTTTAAATATTATTAAGATTTCATCACCGTCATTACTTTTCCTCCGTTTTAGTTATAAATAATATTTAGTTTTCATTATTTACATAGTTTCCTTCCTCTCACTTAACTATGCAAAAAAAAACTCATCGTTAAATAATAGACTAAAATTGAATTTTTTCAAATTCTTTAACATAAGATGTGTTTTCATCTGTAACCGAGATATTCGATAAAACATTGTCATTCTTATAACTCAAAGATTTATGTCCAATTAGTAACATATCTTACCGATGATCTTCTAACAGTGTTTTATCTAGGTTTTTCCTACCGCGAGTGCGATAGCGATTTCCGCGAGGGCGAAAATCTAATTTCTGGAAGAAAAATACATAGTATAAGCACAATAATTGCAATTCTCGGGAGAGCAAAATCGGTCTCCGACAGGGCGCCGCCATCCTTGCCCTCCCTCTAGATAAATCACTATCTTCTAATAATCAAGTTCTAATCTGAAAATGAATATCTATGTTTGTTATATATAATATCATAAAGGATGAAAAAATGGATTTAATATAAGAACAAATATTTTATCTTAGGAATATTTACGTATATTTGGTCTTCGTACTTGGGTGAATAATCTTGTTTGGATAACTCGATCGATGTTTATTTATTTCATATTAACTTGTATTACAACTGCATTGACTATGATTGTTTTTAAAAGTTCAGGAACGAAATGGAATAGTGTTAGTAGAGCTGTTTTTAATTATACACATTGGACATTAGTTTGGACAGTTCTATTTGTTTATGCAATTCAAGTATCAACATTTGCTGTTTTCTTCGGACAATTTTTTAAACGAGGTAATAGTCATATTGTTTTGTATTTATTTGAACGAGAAAATTTATTTTAGCTTTACTTGCGAAATTACTTGGTGTTGTTCTTTGGATAATTACATTTATTGATTTTTATTCTAATGCATCAGTTGGTGTTCGATATTTTTTATGTCTATTTCCAAATGCTGGACTTTTATTCTGTCTACAAGTTATACAACAATATGAACGTCGAAGTAGTAAGTTATTTACTTATATAAAATAATACAGATCAAAATTTATTTTTTTTCAGGGGGTATGACAACGTATAAAGACCTTTATTCAAATATATTTGATTATCCATTATATATTGGTATTTGTCTGCTATTAATGTTAATTTATTCGATTATTTATATGTTGCTGGCTGTATATGTTGAACGAATAAATCCAGGAGAATTTGGTGTTTCACAACCATGGAATTATTTATTTAAAAAATCTTACTGGACATCATCAACAGTACGACCATCGGATGTAGAAAATAATTTAGATATAGTTAATGATAGATCATCGAATGCAAATCATTGGATTGAATTAAATACTATTGGAAAAAAGAAAACTCCAGCTATGTCAATTGATCATTTAAATAAAGTAAAATGATGTTAATATTATTATTATTATTAATCTTATTGATTTTATTTAGAAATTTGGAAAATTTCAAGCTGTTTCAAATCTTTCATTAGACTTTTATGAAGGTGAAGTATGTACATTATTAGGACATAATGGTGCTGGAAAAACAACGACAACATTTATTCTTGTTGGTAAGTTAATCTTTTATTGAGAAATTTCGTTGAACAAAACAACATATGTTTCAGGAATGTTGGAACCTACATCTGGTCAGGTAACGATTCAAGGAATGAATAATCAATCACAAATTGAAGAAGTTCGACATTATCTTGGTTTTTGTCCACAATATGGTACGCTACATAAAAAAACTAATTGTTTATATAAAAAGTTTCTTTTATTTTCTAATTAGATATTCTTTATGATGAATTATCTGTTGAAGAACATTTGGAATTAATTGCTAAGGTATGGATATATTTTATTTGGAATGATTCTCTTATGTTTATTTTAGATGCGTCATATGAATAAAAAATTCATGAAAGAATCAATTGAAACTATTCTTCAATTAATCGGTTTAACAAATGATCGAAATACATGTTCAAAAGATTTATCCGGTGGAATGAAACGTCGATTATCAATAGGAATATCTTTAATTAATAATCCAAAAGTTTGTTTAATAATTATAAAAAATAATTCATCTAATTTTAATACTCTTTTAGGTTGTTATTCTAGATGAACCAACGAGTGGTATTGGTAAGAACTTTTAATAAATAATTCTATGGAAATTTTGCTTTTTTTTCTAATTTCAAGATCCATACAATCGTCGACTTATTTGGACTATAATAAGAAAATTAAAATTAGCAGGAAAATGTGTATTATTAACAACACACTTTCTTGAAGAAGCTGATGTTTTATCTGATCGAATAGCTATTATGAGTCGAGGTCGATTACAAGCGAATGGAACACCTGATTTTCTCAAACAACAAACAGGTTAGAAATACTAATCATAAGAATAGAAAAATTTTGATAAATTTTTTATTTAGAATTTGAATATCGATTATTAATGGATAAACAAGATCATTGTTCAAGTGAACGTGTTACTCAATTTATTCAAGAACATGTTCGTAATATTGTCTTAGAACGTGAATCAGCAGCTGAACTTGTCTATGGAATAAAACGTGGTGAATCAAAACAAATCGAACATTTAATCACTTCACTTGATCAAGAAAAACAAACAATTGGAATTAATTCTTATGGCTTGTCAATGACAACTATTGAAGATGTATTTCTTCGGTAATAAAAATAATTCACAGGAATAACACTAATAAGTTTTTTTTCTTAAAAATATTTCAGATTAGTTGTTGAAGATGAAGAAGAAGAACATGGAAATGTAAAATTTCAAATCGATGATCAAGGTAAATGAAATAAAGTATTAAACTAACCAATAATTCTATATTTCTAGTTTTTCGTAAGCAATATGAACGTATTAGTGGTATTCGTTTATTCTGGACACGTGTTCGCGCATTATTAATCAAACGTTTACATGTTTCTCGTCGACAAATTAGTTTATTCTTAGGGTTTTTTCTACTCTCAATATTAGTTCAAATTCTAACTGTTGCTGCTGTACCAACACCACAACAAATTCAATCAACACTTATGAATCTTGTACATGTATCTGATGCTCAAGTAACTTTAATTCCATCGATTTATAATCCTCAAACAATAGTTACATATGCAGATAATAATGTTCAAACACGACTTATGAATTATTTAACAAATACAAATGCTGCTATTGAAAACATTTCAAATGATACTGTTCTTACTTACGTTCAAGATAGATATACTGTATCTGAAGATATTTTTATGAATAAATATCAAATAGGTTTTGCTGCATATAATAATGGAACTTCCGTATCACCTGCATTACAAATGAAAGCTTATTTTTCAACAGTTAATTATCATGCAATGCCGATAAGTTTAAGTGTTGCTACAACAAATCTTTTTCAATTTTATGCTAATTCAACATCAAAACGTATTATCACAACAAATCAACCAATTATAACATCAACAACAACTGGATCCTATATTGCTGAAGTTCTTTCCGTTCTTTATTGTTTCGAAGTATTTCCGATATCATTATTTAGTTTTCTAAATTGTATTATAGCAACAATATTTATTGGTATTCTTCTATTATCAATCATAACAGAACGTTTAAATCATTCCAAAGATCTACAATTATTAACAAATTTAACTAAACGTACATATTGGTTTGCAAATTGGCTGTTTGATTTTACCTTATGTTTTATTCTAATTGCCTTATTAACTATTATTGTTAAAGTATGTAGAAAAGAACAAAAAATGAGACGAAATATTTCATTTTTATTTAGATTGGTGCTGAAGCAAATTCAAATAGTGATGCTGAAGTTCGTGTTTTTCGAGAATCAGCAGCAATGGGTTATTTTTTTCTCATGTTTTTCATGTATATATTAGCATCAATACCATTTGTTTATGTTTTTTCATTTATTCCAAAAACATCGATTATGGGTTTTACAAATTTCTTTATTCTCAATGTTATTATATGTATTATTGATGCAGTTGCTAATTCATTTACAGTTTTTACTAAAAATGATAACCCATCAGCAGGTCCAACGAAATCTTTTAAAACAGTTACTAACCTTCAATGGTTATTTTCTATTTTATTACCAACAATTAATTTAAAACATGCCATTTCTAATCTTCTATTACATTCTAATAATGTATGTATAACTATATCAAATAAAATGGTTGGAACTAAATTAGCAACAAATGCACCATGGATGTCAAAAGAAAGACCTGGTGTTGGTGCACAATTTATTATATTTATTGCACAAATGCTATTTTGGTGGTTTGTTTTATCAATTATTGAAAGTCGTCTTAGAATTAGACAAGCTTGGCAACGGTGTTTTCGAAAAGATGATTCAGTGACAACAGATCAATGGAATGATTCGGTATGAAATCTTTGAAATCTAATGAGTGTTATTCCAATAGAGAATATGAAAATAGAATTGAAGCTTTGCACGCGATGACGTCAAAGTTCGATTAGAGTACTACAGTGACGAATATAGAATCATAGTTAGTGAGATTCCTCGAAGTATAGTCTATACCAGTATTGATCTTTACTGCATCATCACTTTTATTAAAAAATGAATATTAATTTGATTTCAATAGCAAATGTGTGTATTTTTAGCATTTAGATGAAGATGTACGACGAGAACGTGAATCGATTTTACAAGATAATGAAACAACGAAATCATCAGTTATTCTTGTTCGTGATCTTATAAAACAATTTAAAAAACGAAAATCAATATATACAGCTGTTGATCATCTTAATTTTCATGTACATAAACGAGCATGTTTTGGCTTATTAGGTAAGAAAATATTTATCTAATACAATTTTATATATGTATATTATTCATTTAGGAGCAAATGGTGCAGGCAAAACAACAACATTTCGAATGTTAGTCAATGATATTAAACCAACATCAGGAAATCTAATTATCAACGGAAAAAATATCAACCAAATGGTAAATTATTTCGATAGTATTGATAAAGATTTAATTTGTTTTCTTATGATTATAGACACGAGATTTAGAAATTGGTTTTTGTCCACAATTTGACTGGCTTGTAAACGATTTAAGTGTATTAGAAACATTGATTCTATTTGCTCGGTAAAAATTTATTATTCGAAGTCATTTAGTTAATCACATTTTTATATAGATTAAAAGGTGTTAATGGTACAGAAATATCAGAAATGTGTCAAAATATTATGAATATCTTTGGTCTTGAAATGTATGAAAAACGAGCCGTACAAAAATTAAGGTGAACATTTTTAATAATAGAAATGTATTGATTATATGTGAATATTCTAATTACTAGTGGTGGTAATAAACGAAAAGTTAGTGCAGCTTTGGCTTTTATGGCTAATCCAGCTTTAGTATTTTTGGATGAACCAACAACGGTATAAAATAATAGAAAATTTCATGATTAAATAAATTTTGTTTATCTATAGGGTTTGGATGCAGCAGCTAAACGAAAATTTTGGAAAGTTATTCGAGCTGCACGTGATGTTGGTTTGACAATTATTATGACTAGTCATAGGTAGAATAGTTTATTCATTTTTTATTTTGTACATCTATTTATTTATTTTTCAGTATGGAAGAATGTGAAGCATTATGTACTAGTAAGTTTTAGAGAAACTGAAAATCTCTTATTTATGTATGTATTTTATTTAGAAATTGGTATTATGAAAACTGGGCAATTCATGTGTCTTGGTAGTCTTCAACATTTAAGAAATCGTTTTAGTACTGGTTATGCTGTACAAGTAAAAGTAGCTATTGATGATGTTGAGAAAATTAAAGAAGATTTAATATCAAATCTACCAGGAATTGAAATTCAAGGTATAATTAAACTATTTCTTATTTTTTAAAAATCATTATTATAATGAATTATAGCTCAACATAATGAAATGCTTTTTTGTAATATTCCTTTTTCAAATGATAACAATCAAATGCAATTATCTTTTAATTTGGGTCATGTATTTGGGACATTAAATTCAAGAAAAGAACAAAAATTAATTGAATCTTATTCAGTTACACAAACAACACTTGAACAAATATTTGTTCAACTTGCTGGCGAAGATGAAGATGCAGAACCATCACCGAATCAAGTGCCAAATACAAATCAAAGTAAATAATTAGTTTAATCTGAAAATTATTTTTCTCAATTTTATTTATTAAAAAAAAATAGTTGTAGAACAAATTGATTAAAAGGTGAATTTTTGAATATTGTTGGATGAATGCTTAACACTTTATTTTTATATTAAATCATAAATTGTCTTATTTTATTTTAGATTTGCAATCAGAAAATACGAGATTATAATGTGATCAATGTTCATTTTTAACTATGCTTTAATCAATGTGCTTTGTAAAACAAAAAATATTTATGTTTGTAAAACCGGTGAATTGCTTTTGTTGTGACTTATTATTTAAAATGAGTGATAAAATAAAATAAAATTTATATGAAATCTTCTTATTAAGAAGAATAAATCCTCTTTTTTACTGCTATTAAACTTAAAGCTTGAATACCTTTATAATCTGTGGAATTGTTATCTTATTGTATATGATTAAAAACAATCCAGAGCTCTAATATTTAAAATAGATGATTTCTAAATTTTGAATGGAAATTACTATTGAATTTCTCTGTAGTAAACATCTACGAATACTTTTTATCAATTTCTTATTCTTTTATTTGAATTTTCCAAATGAGATATAAAGTTCAAATAATAGAAATATTTTATATTTGTCTAAATTTAGAGATAAATGAAAGATCATGAAAATAAAACAGATGGTAAAATGTATCTTTGTATATAAATTCAAATTCTGCGGATGTTGATTATTATTATATGCTCTGATAAAAATATTTAAAAAAGAACAAATGTTTAAAAGGAAATACAAAAATGTATGATTTTATTTTACCATCCAATATTTTTCTATGAGATAAACCTCGAAACATGAATGACGCAGTAAAGATTAACTTCCATATGTTTCCAACTGAATTTATTTCAAAAATCAGCCAAATAAATAATTCTAAAAATAAAACTTTCTACTATCTGACGTTTTTTAAAATGATATTGAGTACTCACTGATTGTTGATTCTCATTTCTTTTTTTTGAGAAGAGAACGAGAAAACATTTTCTACTATATAAATTCTTTCACATAATCATCTGAAAACATTAATAAAAAAATGTTATTTGGAAAAATTTTAATTCTTTTTTTCCTGTTGCATTTTGTTGATCTTCAACTTCAAATAAATTTTTATCAAACAAATTGGATAAATGAAGATCATGATTTTGAACATGATTGTTTAAATATTGTTTCATATACACGCGAAGAATCTAATGATCGCCAAATGATGTCTTACTGTATGACGAAATGGCCGTCAAAATTTCCTATTCAAGATAACACTTTTGATAAAAAATTAACATTTTTCGAACTATCACAACAACATGTAACAAGTGAACAATTATATATATGGTCAGCACCCATTGATCTTATTGAACAGTATCAATATTATTTAAATCGACAATCATATTTCGATTCAACATCATCATTAGCAAATCAAGTCTTTTATAATTGTACTTTACCATATTTTGGCTCGAAATGTCAATATATGTTTAATAATTACAATTATAATTATTCATCATTAAATGAAATTATATCTAATTATTATGAATATAATCGATATCAACCAACTTTATTTACTTGTTACATTCATTTAGAATGTAATCGAGGACCATCTCCATCATGTCTTGATTGGACAGAAATTTGTGATGGAAAATTTGATTGTCTTGATAGTAGAATAGATGAAGAACATTGTTGGCAACTTGAAATACATCAGTGTAATGACGATGAATTTCAATGTTCTTATGGTCAATGCGTGCCGAAAACATTTGTTCAGGATGCTTCAATGATTCCTGATTGTCTTGATCAATCGGATAAAACGACTCGCAGTATTCGAAATCCCAGTACGTTATTTGTCATGGATATAAAAGAGCCAACATTTATGTATGAAGATATTTCATGTGCAAGAACCAATCGATTCGTATATTCTCTTCGTTTACTTACAAGCTCATGTGTTCTAAGTCGTGAAGATCTTTTATCGCATGCAATGTTATCAATTAAACCAAACTTAATAACTGATGAATGTTGGGCCGCATTTAGGTGTGTCATACAAATGCCAATTCCATCAAAAGAATTTTGTTTAATACTATGTAATAATGAAGTATGCGATAGTATAATAGACAAGATGTGTCCAGATATGATATATATTTCAACATATCCATTTTTTCATGATCGTTTTTATGTGGTATACAACAAATCTCGACTGAAAGATGCAATTTATATGCCTAAACCTACATATGTTTGTTACGATAATGAATTTCTTGATGTACCGAATGATACTAAGAGATTATTCATATTCAATAATAAAACTTGCCGTCGTTATGATGATTCAATTACTGGTAACGTTGGTTTCTTCGAACCGAAATGGATACAGTTAAGCATTAATCTTATATTGAAATGGTTACATAAAACTACAACATTGACTTATAACAATCCTGTTTTTTGTGATAGATCGATCATGTATCAATGTATAAATTCGTCAAAATGCATTATGAAGACTCGTCTTTTCGATAACATTGCTGATTGTTATTATCACGATGATGAAGATCCATCTACATTTAATAATACGGACTTACAACAACTTCAAAATATATTCAGATGTAAAACAATTGAAGAATATTTTCCAACTTATTTCGTTAATGATACAGACTGCGATTGTAGGACGCCTGGAGATAGTTATTGTGCTGATGAAAATTCCGCTGAATCTTATTTTAGGAAAACAATTTCATTTCAAACGATCTGTGATAAAGAAATTCATTTAATGCCACAAATTTTTGGAGATACTGAAACAGATGAAACAAATTGTGATCAATGGCCACTGATGCATATATATAATCGTTGTGATGGTTTCTGGCATATTCCTGATGGTTCGGATGAATTAAATTGTGATTTATCATTATCATTATTAAATTGTTCTGAAAATGAACATGTATGCGTTTCATCTAAAACAGACGAATTAATTTGTTTATCTATCGAACATGTTAATGATAACATTAATGATTGTATAGGTGCTGCTGATGAACGAAAAATATGTCGACAAAATCAATTAGGTTCTAAAGATGCAAAGCTATTCGCTTGTAACAATACGAAATATGAAAAAAACTCGACATGTCTGCCCGGTGATTATTTATGTAATGGTGAAAATGATTGTTCTAATAACGAAGATGAACGAATTTGTAAAGGTAATGATATTTTATCATCTTCGTTGGACAAGGGTATTTGTGCATATAATTATGAATTATATGGTTCTGATATTGCAAAAGCACTTTGTAGACTTTTTGTTAATAATGGAAAACGTTCAACAAGATATTTTACATTAGATCAAAGTCAAAATTCACTTGGACATTATTCTGAAGATGGAGAGACTCCCCTATTAATATATCAAATTCAAGAAATCCCAAGAAATATTTATAACTATCAGCAACGTTGTCATCGAGGTCTTGATGTACAAATATTTTTAGATAAACAAAAAAATTTAACAAAAAATGTTTGTCTTTGTCCACCAAGTTTCTATGGAGATATCTGTCAATATCAAAATCAACGAATTAGTCTTACTTTACAATTTCGTGATACAACAAATTCTACACAAATTTTATATAATATTATTATTACATTAATTGATAATAGTAATGAACGAATTATTCAGTCTTCTCAACAATTTAATTATTATTTCAAAAAACATTGTCAAAAAAAATTTCATTTCTATTTATTATATTCAACTCGACCAAAAGATTCAACAAAAGAATATTCGATACATCTAGATTTTTATGATAAATTAACATTAGATTATCATGGAAGTATTATAAAATCAGTAAATTATTCATTCCTACCTGTTCAACGTCTTGCTTTTCATTTAGAATTTCCTTATAATTATGAGAATATTTCTAATTGTTTAGATAAACAATGTATTCATGGTAAATGTATAAAATATTTTCATGAACCAAATAATAAAAGATTTTGTCAATGTAATGAAGGATGGTCTGGCCAATATTGTACAATTAAGCATACATGTTTATGTTCATCTCAATCATTATGTATTGGTAAATTAGCAAATAATCAATCTTTATGTGTTTGTCCTTTGAATAGAATGGGTCCTCAATGTTTAATTGATAATCAATTATGTCAAAGTAACCAAATATGTCATTATCGTGGCCGTTGCATACTTATAGATGAATATGAAACACCAGAAAATAAATTTTTATGTATTTGTTCAAAAGACTTCTATGGTGATAGATGTGAATTATCTCGAACAAGACTTATTATATCAGTTGATAAAAATTTTCATTTATCTTCATCAATATTTATCCATTTTATTGAAATAAAAACAAATGATTTTCCTATTCGTACTACTACTTTTAAAAATATTCGATTACAACAAGATTCACTTATTATTTATTGGTCATTACCATTTCATATTGCATTTATTGAATTATTAAATAAAAGTTATTATTTAATTACAACACAAAAAATCTATAAGCAATCAGCAATAATTCACACATCATTAAATTTATTTAATCGATGTTTAGATATAAAAGAATTATTTAATGAAACATTTTTTAATTATACTCTACTTTATCGTATAAAATTTTATCATATGCCATGTCAAATGAATGCATTATTATCATGTTTTTATGATGAACAACGTTTTTGTTTATGTCAACAAATTAATCAACAGCGTGTAGCTAATTGTTTTGATTTCGATCCTTATACAGAATCAAATTGTTCGAGTCAGTATCATTGTGAAAATGGTGGTAAATGCTTTCAAGAAGATTCAAAATGTCCAAAATATTTCCATTGTCAATGTCCTGTATGTTATTATGGAACAAGATGTCAATTAAATACAGATGGTTTTAGTCTTTCACTTGATGCTATTCTTGGTTATCATATTTATCCAAATATAAATATATTCAATCAACCAAGTGCAGTTTTAACAAGTTCAATATTAAGTACAATTATACTTATCATGGGGATAATTAATAGTATTTTATCATTAATTACATTTAAAAATAAAAAAACACATGATTCAGCTTGTGGAATATATTTGTTATGTACATCAATAATAACTTTATTATTAATAATTATATTTACATTCAAATTTTGGATTCTTATTATGGCTCAAATTGGATCAATACAGAATGAATTATTTTTAAACATACAATGTCATTCAGTGGATTTTCTTTTAAAGTTTTGTTTAACAATGGATCAATGGTTAACAACATTTGTATCTGTTGAAAGAGCATATATAACAATAAAAGGAATTGGTTTTAATAATAATAAAAGAAAATCATTAACTAAATGGATAATATTAGGTCTTATATTAATAACAATTGTTACTAATGTTCATGATCCAATTTATCGACGTTTACATACGGAAGAAGATGATGAAGACATAAGAATTTGGTGTATTGTTAAATATCCACCTGTTATTGATATTGTGAATTCTGTTATGAATATTTTTCATTTTATTGCTCCATTTATTATTAATTTAACATCAGCAATCATCATTATTATTATAAATGCTAGACAACGGGCAAAACTTAAAACTAAACAAAAGTATATAAAAATATTACAAGAACAGATTCAACAACATAAAAGTCTTCTTATTGGCCCATTTGTTTTAATTATTTTTAGTATTTCACGTGTAATTATATCATTTGCATCAGGTTGTATGAAATCAATGACAGATTCTTGGTTATTTCTTTTTGGATATTTTATGTCATTAATACCACCATTGCTTACATTTGTTTTATTTGTTTTACCATCCACTACATACAAACAAGCATTTAAAAAAGCTATTAGTCGATATCGAAATATATTTCGAAGACAATAATTATCATAGTCTGGAAGAATAGACTATTATTTAATATCTAAACAAAATATACATATATTTATTCCTCACTACTTTTAACAAATTGTTTCGTATAATTATATTTTATTCATGCTTTTCAATAAATTTATGTTGTATTTTATGATAACTATCATTTATTTGTAGTATGATTTTGTCTAGTAAGATTAAGTCAGTATTTCAAAGAGAACATATTCATAAAGATAGCAACAAGTTCTGTTGATAAAATTAGTTTTGCTTGTTACCGGTAATTACGATAATAAAAGCCAACAGGAGGTTGTGCATCTCTGGCAAAAAAAGAAGTTTTGTAGAACTATTTTAGAGTAGAAATAAAAAGATTTAGTTAAAGTAATGAATTAGATAACGATGGTTAAATTATCTTTTTTTAACGATTTATCTATTGATTTCGATATGAAAATGATAGTAATAGAACTTATGAGTTTGAAGTTAAACTCAATCAAATCGAGCTAGTACATTTCTTATTAATCGAATTTCAAGTTGATTGAGGAATATAAATAAGACTTATATGAAGCAAAATTCTTTTAAATTTTAAAACTAGAAGTTTATCAATTCTATTCAGATGAATAATCTCTGCTCTTCTTTTATTTTATTTTCTTCGTGAAATTATTGCATGATAAAGTATAACATTTGATTTGTATCCAACAAAATCATGTCTATACATACGGATGACATGATGATGTGATATATTCATGGAGTCTGTTTTACTAGGGTCATGTATCTTTGGAAAAGAAGATAAATAATATACCAAGGCATCGACAAATATGTATCGTTCGCGTGGAACGGAACGAAAACGAATGACTGTAGAAATGGCAATCCATAAATATTCGGTAACCCTTGACTATATTTAGTTCCATCAGTTAAATAAATAAAATCAATTGAGAAAACCTTTTAAAAATTTATCAAAAGCATGTTGATGACATTTTGAATCGAAAAAATATATTTAGTATGCCTCTCTCTATCCCGTATGAGTTAATATTTCTTTCTTTTAGGTTCGAATACCCACACCCATACCCTCACCCACACCCTCAAGTAACAAAGACGAGCAAAAAATGAAAAAAACGGAAAAATGAAATATAGGAATAAATTCAAAGATAGAACAAACGATAAACAAAACGAAAGGAGAATATGATGATCATCAACATCTGAAGATGACCAACAAAAAGTGAAAATGCAGAGCATTAAAAAAGAACAAGAAATAGTTCACTGTAAGAAATAAATGAGCGTCATGTACTGAGGTTCATTGTCGCTAATTGAGATGCTGTTACGAACATGAACACAAATTCGCCCAAAATCCGCGGTTGCCACCATCCTCCTTGTATGTTAACATAAACGCATTAAAATCCTTGCGACAACGTTTGATTGTTCTTTGAGTCTGCATAAGTTTATCCAGGCGGCCCAAACGCCGTCTTACCTCCTTCTTTTTCTCAGCAATATCGTTACCTGAATCGCTGGATTCACTATCCCTTCTGTGACCATACATAATTTTACGAATATCATCACGACAGGTTTCGATGTCGTAGTGAAGTGACCTCAGGGTATCGGCACCCTTCAGTTCGCCGGAAAGACGATGGCAAAGGCGAGCTGCAAGTGCCAGATCTTCATTAATCTGGTCAAATTCAGGAAAATCTCGTCTACCATTATCGAGAAAGATCGCCATCTGATTAAAATCACACTTTGCAGCACAATCTAACGCTGCTGAAACACGACCCGAATCATATGCGATCTTCTCCTTCGAAAGTGTTTTTCCACGAGGCATGTGTCTCAATCGTTCAGTTGTTTACTTTCCAAGCTCTGTGGTCTAACTTCAAATTTCTAAATACAACAGCAACTGAAAAAAAAATTTAAATCAGAGTTATGCCATTCAATACATACATCCGATACACACAAAACAACACTCAAAACCAGAAACGCTACCATTCCTTCTATCATTCGAAAACTCAATCAAACAGACAACACTGCTGCCAAAGCCACTCTAACCTCCAGTCAAGGCTGCAACAAACAGCTATCCCTCCGACCAGTCAAAGTAACCCAAGAAAAACCAAAAGTTTAAAACAACACGAGCGGACTACTCATCAGGTGATACCCCAAAAACAAACAAAAAATAAACCAAATGGACGAAAAAACGTATGAGACAAAGCTCCTACGATGATAAATGAGTCAGAAAAGACACGGATGAAAAAGTTTCCAACAAAACGAAAGCTACAACAAAATGAAAGAAATGAGACTCGACTACTCATTACCTGATATCGAAAAAGAGAAATGAATAGGCGAAACGGACGAGAGAAAGGATGGGGCAAAGCTCGTACGATAATAAATGAGTGAGAAAAGATACGGATGAAAAAGTTTCCAACAAAACGAATGAAGTGTGACTCGACTGCTCATTAACTGATATCGAAAAAGAGAAATGAATAAGCGAAACGGACGAGAGAAGGGATGGGGCAAAGCTCGTTCGATAATAAATGAGTCAGAAAATGTACGGATGAAAAAGTTTCCCACAAAACGAAAGCTACAACAAAATGAAAGAAATGAGACTCGACTACTCATTACCTGATATCGAAAAAGAGAAATAAATAGGCGAAACGGACGAAAGAAAGTATGGGGCAAAGCTCGTATGGTAATAAATGAGTGAGAAAAGACACGGATGAAAAAGTTTCCAACAAAATGAAAGAACTGAGAGTCGATTACTCATTAACTGATATCGAAAAAGAGAATTAAATAAGCGAAACGGACGAAAGAAAGTACAAGGCAAAGCTCGTACGATAATAAATGAGTCAGAAAATGTACGGATGAAAAAGTTTCCAACAGCACGAAAGTTTGCAAAATCTGATGCTGTATTCACTTTTGGCATAGATGAAATTGGAATCATAATCAATTGCTACCGGATTTTTCTTACTTTCACCAACACCTGAAATTTACAAAACTTTTGAAAATCTTGAAAGTTTTGGTATTTGAAATTTGGACTAATTTTGACACGGATAGATCATATTCAGAATCAGTTTACAGCTTACTAACCCATCATTCTAAATGTTCCACGATCAACTGCACACATTGCGCAGTCAAAAATGTATATGGAAGGATTACTAGGTGAAACTACCTGTTCACCCAGTGCTTCCACCCAAATTTCGATCGATGACCCCCAACTCAAGTTACACCGTTCGATGCAGAATGAAATTCTCTATGTATCCCAGGAGTATTGGCCATGTCCCAAGTTCCAAGGCGAATGTCAGCAAGGAATACTCGATTCTGCTGCTAACTTTACTTACGTATTTATTTTATATAATCGCAATATAGTGACAAGTAACGCTCGCCTAAAGACTCGCTTAGCTCTTGCTCGTAGAAATGGTGTTCTACAATGCTACGGCATCTTTTGCTTATATGAATTGCAAACACTAACATCAGATTCGTGTTCCCGACCTCAAAACCCGTTTTGTCAAAATTTATACAAAAATTTGTTTTCGTAAAAAGATAGTTTTTGTCTAAAAAAAAATTTTTTTAAAAAATTTTAGAAACCTAACATCAGATTCGAAGTCCGTGCATCGAAATACTTCTAGAAATGTCTTTTCTGAAAAATCGATTTTCGATGTTTTTCTGACCCTGCGGACACACAAGCAAGCAAGCAAACGATTTATGTCTACTGAACTCTCCGCTACGAGAAAGAGAATAAAATGAAGTTTTTGAATCTCTTTCAGTCACAAATAACTTTTTCTTCGTCATATTCTATAAAAATGATTTAGCTAAATGAATAATTAAGAAAAAAATAGTAATTCTATTGTATTTGGATTTTTGTAAGACTAAGTTGTCTTTTATTTTACAAACAATCGTTTATTATATAACAAAAAAAGAGTCAACAAATACTGTTTGAAAATTATATAAATTCCTGAGAGAAAAAAAATATCGATATTTATTGTTCGATCGGAATAGATTGTTGTTGTTGTTGATTATCATCGACATCATCTCTTGTGGCATTTGGACGAGAAAATGATAAGCGTTCTTTGTCAAAACGAAGTGCAAATCGACCAAGTTGACCATCGAATCGATTTTTTACAACCTAAAAATATTGTCGCTTGGTTACAGACAATTCTATTCCTAATAAGTAACCTGTAAATATTTGATATTTCCACCAGCTGCATTTGCTAATTTTTTTTGTTGTATTATTAAAATATTGTCTGATTCTTGTGATGCTTTTGCTGAACCAAATATTGATGAAACTGATAGATCTCCTTCATCTTCTTCCTAAAGAAACAAAAAAAAACAAGATAACACTATAAAAGTCTTTTTGATTATTTTAATACTTTTCTTGGATGAATAACAATTGTAACATGACATTTATTATTTGTTGCAAATTTTCTAAAACGATGAATTAAAGTATCTTGTTTAAAAAATCGATCTCCATTTGAATAATCCATTCCCATCATAAACTGAAGATTATCAATAACAACATGTTGAATATTATGAATAGCAACAGCATTGCCCATTGTCTATTTTGTATATTAATATTTTTTTAATTGCATAGAAAAGAATTTTGTCTTATACTTACATTTATTACTTTATCAATACTTTCTTGGCCATGAAATGTCATAAAGAACATTGGTAAACGAGTAAATTGATCAGCAAATTTATCGAACACATGCATATTTTTCGTTAAATTTAAACTATTTTAGAACAAGAAATATTAATAAGAACTCTTAGTTATTATCGATCATTTTCGGGTTGTTGATTCGATTTTTGAGAACTGAATTAGTATTTAAGACTGTCAAATTAAATAGAGATGATCCAGATTCTTGCCGACCCATTCTTTTATTACTATATCAATAGAATGAGTCACGTTTATCTAAGTTCACATTAAAGAATCGATAGAAACATAAGTCGATCTCGTTTGATTTTTCATAATAACCATACTTCATCTCTAATTAAATCTGATTTTCCTCACACATGAATCTTAAGTTACATTTACTTTTAACGAGAAAACTCAGTATAGAAACGGTAAAGATTTTCCCAAATTGTCAAAAGACTGAGGATTATTTTTACCTGGAATATTGTGTTAACATGACTTTCGCTAAACGATGTGTTTGAATTTCAAAACTACCAAATAGAGTTGATACCTAATCATAAAATTTTCTTGATAAAATATTATTATTCAAATATATATTTACTCCTTGAGTACATAGATCAAGCGAATATTCACTTAAAAATGTCGTTTTACCACAACCAGTTGATCCTGTTAAAACTGTTAATTCACCAGCTCGATGTCCTTTTATAATTTGTGATAACATTGGAAATCTTTGCCACTAAATTATACAATACATTTAAATTACAATTGAATTTTACTATTGATATTATCAAATACTTGTGTTCCAGCAAAACGTGTTCTTTGAAATAATTCATCACGTATTAAATCACGAAATGTATCAAATTGTTCAATACATTTATTAATTACAGCAAAACTTTCATTAACTATTGGTTTTAAACTGTGACCAATTTTAAAAGCACTATGAGCATTCATTGGATACCTATTCAAATAAATTGTATTATTTTATATAAAATCCAAATAGTCTTATTTACGTTATCATAAAACAGCGATGAGGATTAAGAATATTAGATAGACGAAAAGCAAATGCTTTATCATTGGTATACCATATATGGATTTTACGTAAATGTTCAAATGCCATATTTATCTTAATTAAAAGAGATTATATTCAAAAATAATTATATTAATTATATTCGATTGTACTCGAATAGAAAATTTTGTATTTGGAAGTGCAATTGCTAATTTACCAGTCGTTTGATAAATACATAACGCATCCCATATTGAATCAACAAGAATTATTTCAGCATTGCGTGCTGAAAGAATATTTAAACCAAATGGTGCAGAAAGTTTCCTATTAAAATTCATTCAATAAGAAAATTTGATTAAATAAAATAAAATATGTATTTACAATGGTTTTGTATCGGAGTTCGATGGTGAATCAAGAACAACTATATCAACTAGTGATCGATCAGTATCATACAATGGTGCAATAAGTTGATCTTGATAAATTCGAATACCATATCGTTGAAGTGTTGTAGATGATAGCGTATATTCCTTAAAATGCAAAAAAAAGAATGAAATAGTTAGTAACAATCAGTGTTACTTGAAAACTCTTTATTCCTATAATAGATAGCTTCTCTTCGACTGAATAAGATGCGAAACAATAAAATATAATCTTTTATCTATAATTTATGTTCTTTATATTGATGTTGAAACGATTTACAAGTTATTAATATATATTATAAAATAAATAATCAAAAATTCATTCTATACCTCTTCTCATTGCTCACTACGCATAATCTTCTTGAGATAAATAACACTTACTTCAGTAAAACCATATCTTGCTAAAATGACTTCGAGAAGTTCTTTATCTTTATCTTGAATTGCTTGTGATTGTTCCCAAATAATCCGTTCTTTATCTGGCAGTTGAATCGCTGCTGTAGTAACTTTCGGACAATTTATTCTATAATAACAAATATAATGAATAAAAAAAATACAAAACAATATCAATAATTTAACCTTGATTTTAAATGTGGCCATTGAGTTTTAAAATCTAACCATGTGCCGGTTGTTGAACATTTCGAACAAACAAAATCACCTGTTGAAATAAGTTTAGAATACAAGTGTTTCGTATTCTTTTTCTTTCTTTATTACCTCGTTCTTTTTCAATATGAATAAGACCTGATATTCGACTTGAACTTCGACAACATAATGCTTTAATACATGTCCATGATTCATCAAATGGAATGGAATTTTCTCTTAGATATTCTTTTATTTCAATAGCTTGACCAACTAAAGGTGGATTAGGATCAATTAATGTCTGTTTTTTTGATAGCGGAGTATTAATTGAATTAAATGAATGGAATAATTGATGAATATATGGATTAACAAGTAAATAATTACTTGTGGAACGAAAAATTGAACTCGAAAACATTAATCAGTAAGTGAACTTCTTTTTTTCTCTTGCCTGATGGTCAGTTACGACATAGATGGCGTTATCAACAATGAAGAAAAATTAAATTTATTAAAAAATAAAACTTTTTCTTTGATAGATTTCAAAAAATAATACTCTAGTTTTATTTTAACTTTTTTCATTTTTATATTCTATTGGTTAATTTAATTGAACCAATTAGTAAGGTATGAATGAAATTACATTGTGAAAATCAATATCATTATAGAAATAAAATGCCACTGTCATCTGCACTTCAAGCGCGTTTGATTGAACGAGGTATTCTTAATGCCTCGAATATAAATGCTGCACTTGGTTTGTAATATTTATTTAAGTCTATTGTCTTTCTAAAATATTTTTCTTCTTGAAGATGCTAGTGCAGCAAATGACGAAGACAATGAAGAAATATTTGCTGAAAGTTATGATGAACGTGATGATCATCATTCAGCGTCAACAGCCGCTGCAGCAGCAGCATCAGCAACAGTACCAAAAAAAGTATATCGATTATTATAAAAAAATATATATATTCATTTTGTATTGTATAGAGTACTTCAAGTACTTTCTCAGCTGCTGATGTTCTTATTGAATCAGAAGAATGTATCAAATGTCCAAATAAATGGAATCCATATCATACTTGTGTTGAATATTGTAAAAAACGGTAAAAAAAAATAATAATAGTTTTTCTAAAAGATACTAGGAAAAATTCAAAGTTGGAACTATCCCTTTTCCTGATGTATCGCTGTAGTCCTCTAAGTACATATCGTAGTGTTAATATGACTTTCATCACTTGACTGAATTTCTGACAGTTGTAGTTTCTCTAATATATTCATTTGAATAGATATGGAATTAAACATTATACACCAGATCCTGAAATTGAAAAACGACGTCGAAGAATGTTGAAAAAATATCCATTACCAAGCAATTGGCGTGAAGTACCTGATGCTAATTTAGATCGATGTTATTATTGGAATTTAGAAACTGATGAAGTATCATGGTTACCACCATCTCATCCACGATCACATATAACGCAATCAGCTATTAAAATAAAACGTAACAAACAAAGGAAATTTGAAATTATAGACAAGATTTAAAATAAATATTTTAGATAAAGAAATGGAAAGAAAAGTAGTAGAAGCTCAACGACAAGCATCTGGATCATCGAAAAAGAAAAAGAAGAAGAAAAATCCAGACGATGTAAAAACATTTTGCTAAAAAAATAAGTTTATTTCTAAAAGTAATTTTGCTTTTTTTAGATTGGAGAACGATCCGATACAGATGAAGAAGATTTAAATCCTGTACAAAAATTAAAACGTAAAATTGGTAAGTATATCAAATTTTTCTTAGTTAATAATTCATTATTCTGCATTTTAGCTGGTAAAATGCTCAATTATGATGCTGATCCAGTATGTTATCTGAATTATATAATATTGTTAGTACATATTGGGTTTTTTTTCTCACTATATTTTAGATGGATCCATCCTCTTATTCTGATGTACCAAGGTAAGCGTATTGGGAGAAATTATTTTGTTTATTGTTATTATTATTTTAGAGGAAATTGGGCATCTGGTCTTGATCTGAAAGGTAAAGCAAAAACTGGTGCTGATGAAACAGCTAGTGGGGAATTATTTCAAATGCGTCCGTATCCATCACCGGGTGATATTCTTCGTATGAATGCTGAAGGTGGATCAAAGAAAAAATCCAAACATACATAAATTTTTGTTGTAAAAAAAGTCAAGACTAAAAATAGTTGTTATATTAATAAATATATTTGTTTTTGTGTTTCGGATCTTAACAATACGAACCATGTATTTGTTTTCTTTTTTTTTCAGATTCATATATATATATATAATCAAAATTAATTTGTATTTGAAAGTAAGTGAATTTAAAGTTTTTATTAATATATATAAAGATTTCCATCGTCTAATCAAAATAAAATGTCGAAACTATTTTCTTTTTTTATAAAACAAAAGAAAATATTCTTTTTATCATTTTAATTAAGTAAGAATTATTTTTTCTTATAACTAAAACAAAGCAAGCACACGCACTAAAACTAAATTACAGTGAATAAATTGTTTTTGTTTCTTCTTCTAAACATATATAAATGTAACGTTTAAATTCGTACCCAAATAATTCCATTATCAATATGTACAACGAAACCGGTTGTTTCATCTCGATATTGTTGTGGATAAGAATTTACTTTTGTTGTTGTTGTTGTTGTTACTTTATTAATCATTGGTATTGAATTCTTTGATTCTTGTTTATTAATTTTCTCAGTTGTTGTATATTTTTCAATTGGTATTGGTTTATTACTTGTTACGATTGAAGAAGATTTGGAAATTTGTTTCTGAGGTTTTTCATTTGTTGAAGAAAGTAGATTAACTAATAAATATCTATATGTACTTATTTCGGACCAAAGATTAACAGCATTTTCACGTATTTGTACAATAATACCATCTAATTCTGGTAATTCACTTTGTAATTGTTTATATTCTCGATCGGATAATTCATAACGTTGACGATTTTGTTCAATTATATTATGAAGATCATCTTGAAGTTGTTCTTGAAGAAAAAAAATTCATTATTTTCAAAAACGAAATTTGTTTGATATTTACCTAATTTATCCTTAAGTAATTGATTTTCTTCAATTAATGTTTGATGTTCTTTTTTTGTTGAATCTAATTCCGTATGAACTTTATATGTCTTAGTTAAATCTTGTTGTTGTTCTTGACGTTTAAGTAATTCATTTTGAATTGTATCTAATTTTGTTTTATATAAAATTTCTAATTCATCTAAACTTATTCTATGAAATTCTTGATAATCTTGACTAAATATTAAAACAACGAAATATTTAAATATGATACAAAAAAAAATAACAAACCGAATTTGTTTAACAATATTATGAAATTCATTTTGATTGAATTGTGTATTTAAATCATGTTGAATCTTTTCTAAATATTCAAATTCTTGTTGACGTCGTTCATAAAATTCTTGTTCAAATGATAATTGTTCTCGTAAAGTATATAAACTATTTTCATTTTCCATTCGTTCGTATGTTATTGTATCATATTCATTTGATAATTCAATTAACTTATTCATATATTCATTAAAATGAGATTTATATGTCTAAAATAAAAAAAAGTACTGAGTTTAGCTAATTATATCTTGATTGTTAGAAGATTCTCAATCAAGGTTGTCTGAAGAATATGTAGTGTACACTAATTGCTCATCCAAATAAGCGGAAAAAAAACATATTTTTTTGTATCCTCGACATTCTTAAATAGATAGCTCGAGTTCCGGTCTGGAATTGCTGTATATGATGGACAGGGTTGACAGTCGAAATTAATATTTATTGGACTTGTCAAAGCAGACTTCAACGTTTGTTGTTTTTTATTTCGCACTTAAAGCGCACTCTTGAAATTTTTTTGTACTCCCCTCATTTGCGATAAGATGAATTTGCTTATTTATGTCGCTTGACATAACTATGATAATAAATTATCGATAAATACTGGTGATGAAAAACTTAATTGTTATTATTATGTTAGGACATATTCTTACTTGTAAATCTTGTTCTTGCCTTTCATATTGTCGTTTAAGATGTTCTAATTCTTGTAAATTAATTTCCAGTTGTTGTCGCATATGTCGAATCTGTTCGGAATGTTTCTGGTCATGGGATGTTAGTAACTTCATATTATTTTGATAGAAATTTATATCAAAATCAGCACGTTGTAAACGTATTTGTAATAATGATTGTGCATGTACTTCTTCATTGATTTTTTTACGTAAACTATTTAATTGAATTTCACTTGGATGTTGATATTTTTTAATCGATTGTTGTTTATTATCATTAATTTCAGTTTGTTGTTCTGCTTCTTCGTCTTGTGTATGTCCTATATATTTTCTATAAACATCATTAACTTGTCGACGAAGATTAGTATTTGCATTGACTAAGTTTTTAATTTTATCCAAATAATTTTCAAAACGATTATTGAGAGTATTTAATTCACGTTTTTCTCCTTCTTTCGCTGGTTTATGTAGTTCATTTATATATGCTGTACTTGAACGAATCCCCATTGTTCTATTAGTTGTTTGCGGTACATGTGAAGTGTTAATTGTTGATGTACTTGTAGAAGTAGACGAAGGAGTTGATGTTTTCGGTACTGTTTCATTTACTAATGTACGTAAATGATCAACACTTTTGGTACGTTCGTTATTGTTATTTATAGGTATAGTCATTGGAGAAGGTGGTCTAAGAGGCGTTGATGAACGATCTCTTTCATAATAAATAGTTGCTTTAATTTGTTGATCATTTTGTTTCGATATTTGATGTAGAGAATTTGTACTTTGATATGAATAAGAATTATTCATTATCTGTAAATCTTCTCGTGAATCGATTCTCATTACGGGATGCATTGTTATTTTACTAGTAAATAACAAAAATTAATCAATAGGAAGAACATATTTGAATAAAAATTATCACTCACCTGTTATTTTCTTCTTCTTTCAATCAATAATTTTTTTGATGAATATGACTAGAAAAAAATTTTTTTATCGAACTTGATACATTCAATCTATGCAAATGAGAAACATAAAATTATTGATAAATATTTTTTTTTCTCTTCTTCTTCTTCTTTCAAAAAGGGTAACTGTTTTGTTATCTTGTTTTCGAGCTCATTTCATGACGATATCTCATTCAAAGAATTAGGGGGAAAAAAAAGTTGAAGAATTTATTTTCATATCTCTAGTATAATCTTATTTATAAGATCATATTTCATAATCTACATGCCTTCAATTGAGGGACATTTTATTGAATGTACACAATAAAAGTTTTTTTTCAAAAAAAGCCTTCTATAAGGAAATAAATAAATGCTTATTTGGATACCTGCTGTTAAACATATAGTATTGATAGTAATAACAAGGATGCAACTAATTCTTACTCGTCGAAGAGAGTCCTTTCATATTTATGGTTGTATATGTATATGCGACTTTTTTTCACTTACACGCACTCGTTTTCTATTCTATGTACATGTCCATCCGAGTTGAAATGCATGCATATATTATGTGCCGACAGCAGCGGTACTAGGTGTGTATATATATATGCATAGACGATACAACAAATTATCGGTTCGTGTGCACATGCACACATAAGAATATACAGATTAAATGAAAGACGTAAATGTGAAGCAAGAGAGAGAGAGAAAGAGAGAGTAGTGTCGCCAATGAAAGCAAAGAGAAGAGGAAGAAGAAGAGAAAAATGAAGTATCCTGAAGGTTGATGATAATCATAATTCTGTAGACAAATGATTATCTTGATTATTATTATAAACAAAATAGTTTTTGACAGAATTTATCTGTTATAAAATAGATGTTGCATCTATTATTATTCAATAGAAAGAGAAGAATGTGTGTGTATATGAACAAATATGATTTCACTTACAAAACTTTTATGTTTCTTATTCTTCTTTTTCTTTTTTATTCAGTTGAAGTTCATTTGTAACTGACTACTTACAATTGATTACATATATATTCGTTTCGTTCGGGCATTGAACAAATTGTATGATGTAATAACTGCTGGACTTTCTGTTGTCGACCGCAATCAATTCGAAGAGTCGTTGTTGGGATTAAAATCGTTGTTGTTATTCTTGCATAATCATTTGTATCAGATTTCTACATTCTCCTTGTATTCTTCTCCTTTTTCGTTTCATACTTTGCAATTGGATACATTACGATTGATTCTATTCATTTTATATAATTGATACTTGAATGCAAACAAGATGGTTTTTATTTTGAACTAATGAATATTGAATTTAGTTAACCTCGATATATAGAAATATTTTTATTTTCTTAATAATTGATTCAATGTTGATTTAGAATCAATAAATAATAACAAAATATATTTCAAGAGAAATGAAAAACATTTTGTATACAATATTATTTCTTCATGAATGATTCAGAGGAATTTTGTTTATCGTCTTTAAGTAAAAAAAAACGAAAGAAATGAATTGAAGATTTAATTTCTATTTGTTCAAAATGACAATAACGTCTATTGAAATAAGATCTTAATGAAATGAATTTAATACTATTCTTATAGGATAACCTTCTATTCAATATTTTACTTGAACAATCTTCTCAAAAAAAAATTCTATTGAAATGAATATGTGTTTTAGATAAAAAATTTTTTCTTCTTGTAAAATGGATCAAGCAGATCTCTATGATCAATTTGGTAATTATACCGGTCCGGAACTTGAATCAGATGAAGAAGAAGATGATGATCAACAAAATGGCTATCGACATGAATTAGAAAATGTTGATCAAACAAGTGATATGGTTTGTTAATAATTATTATTAATAATGAATTTATTTGTTTGTTTTTTTCGTCTTCTAGGAAGATGATGGAGATGATGCTCGAGGCGAAGATGAAGCTATCGATGTATCAAATTTATCAACAGCTGTTGTTTTACATGAAGATAAAAAATATTATCCTAGTGCTTTAGAATTATATGGACCTGATGTTGAAACAGTTGTTCAAGAAGAAGACACACAAGCATTAACTGAACCTATTATTGCACCTGTAAAAAAACATAAATTTTCATTTGTTGAACAAGAAATACCTGAAACAACATATGAACTTGAGTAAATAGAATTAATTGAATAAATAATTATTATTATATTCTTTCATTAACTTTAGATATTTAGCGGATTTAATGGATAGTCCAGAACTTGTACGCAATGTTGCTATATGTGGACATTTACATCATGGAAAAGTAATATTAATTAATTAAATATATATTTTTGATGATTTTAAATATTTTAGACAACATTTTGTGATGCATTAATCGAACAAACTCATCCATATTTAGCATCAACAGAAAATAAAGAAGTTCGTTTAAATTCTTTTTTATACAAAAAAATATATTTTTTATCTTCTAGTTAAGATATACTGATACGTTATTTACTGAACAAGAACGTGGTGTATCAATAAAATCTACACCATTTACAATTATTCTACCAGATCTTAAAGATAAAAGTTTTCTTTTAAATATACTGGATACACCTGGCCATGTCAATTTTTCTGATGAAGCTACCGCAGCATTTCGTTTATGTGATGGTGCTGTGATTTTTGTTGATGCACATGAAGGTGTTATGCTTAATACAGATCGATTAATAAAACATGCTATACAAGAACGTTTAGCAATTACATTATGTATTAATAAAATTGATCGTCTTGTACTTGAACTTAAATTACCACCACAAGATGCATACTTTAAAATCAAACATATTATTGATGAAGTTAATGGATTAATTAAGTAAGCAAAAAATAAATAACGGCTTAAACCTTTGAAACTGATGATTTAACCTTTGGCCGCTTTGAAAAAATATATTCAACTTTTAGCCGTACACTCCTACGGAAATGTTGAGAAATATTTTAGCCACTTCCGCGGAGATGCACGGACGGGAGTAACTTCAGTAGGGTTTTTAATCTGACATAAATATGTGCGTCAAAGTCTCTACTATTTTGTAGTAAAAGCCATACTTCGTTACCGCTCTGTATTCATGACTTATTCGGAATTTATCAAATTTTAAAAAGTGAGGCTTATAAGCCCCACTAACACTTACAGGGTTGATAAAATTATGATACTGTTCCGTCGTACAACACGATAATTTAAAACAAAATTTAGCCCATTTATACGCGAGATTTGTAGTGAAATACTTCATAGAATCTGTAAAAGTCTATTTCGAGCATCAGTTCAAAAAATAAATTCTGTTATGTTTTCTGAATTGTACTTTTACCAGCAAAAAGTAGTTTATTAAAATAATATAATTTATTTGTTTTCTTTTAGAACATATTCTGAAGATGAAAGTAAAGCATCGTATGTATCACCATTACTTAATAATGTATGTTTTGCCAGTTCTTATTATCGATTTTGTTTTACACTTAAATCGTTTGCTAAAATTTATGCTGATACTCATGGTTAGTTAAATATGAAATTATTTTATATATAAATTAATAAAAAATTTTAGGTGGTACATTTGATTTTCAAGGGTTAGCAAAACGATTATGGGGTGATGTTTATTATAATGCTAAAACGTAAGTTGTTTAAATAAAATTCTATGATTTGATCGTTATTATTTTGTTCTTAGACGAACTTTTGGTAAAAAAGGTGCAACAGCAAGTGCATCTCGTTCATTTGTTCAATTTATTCTTGAACCACTTTATAAAATTCTTGCTCATGTAAATTAATTTATTCTTAATGTTTTTCCTAAAGAAAAAAACATATTTTCCTTTAGACTGTCGGTGAAGTTGATACAACACTTTCCGGTGTACTTGATGAATTAGGTATTCGTTTAACAAAAACAGAATTAAAACTTAATATTCGTCCATTACTTCGACTTGTTTGTGCTCGATTTTTCGGAGAATTTAAAGGTTTTACTGATATGATTGTTCAACATATTCCATCACCAATTGCTAATGCAAAAAATAAAATCGAACATCTATATACAGGAAGTTTACAAGAAGATATTGTTACTGATATGAATAATTGTAATCCTACTGTAAGATGAAAAAGTTTCTGAATATGCGATTTATTTAAATGAAAACTGTTTAGGCACCTGTCATTATTCATACAACAAAAAATTATTCAACAGCTGATGCAACATCATTTCATGTATTAGGAAGAATTTTTTGTGGAACATTGAAATCAGGACAAGATGTTCGAATCTTAGGAGAAAATTATAGTTTAAAAGATCCAGAAGATTCATTTTCTTGTACTGTTGGACGTTTATGGGTATTTAATGCTCGGTAAGTTTTATTAGTTTTTCTTATGAAAATAACAATATACTGTAATTTATTTAGATATCGTATTGAATTAAATCGAGTTCCAGCTGGTAATTGGGTATTGATCGAAGGTGTAGATCAATCAATTGTAAAAACATCAACCATTGTTGATAATTCAGGTTTAATACGAGGTCGTCGAATGAATGTTACAAATATTGATGATGTAAGTAAAGCAAAATGCATTAGTGAAAATCTAAGATTTTTAAATGTTTTTTGTTTCTGTAGGTTCAAATATTTCGTCCATTAAAATTTAATACAACTTCTGTTATTAAAATAGCAGTTGAACCGGTGAATCCATCTGAATTACCAAAAATGTTAGATGGTTTACGTAAAGTCAATAAAAGTTATCCATTATTAAATACAAAAGTTGAAGAATCTGGTGAACATATTATTCTTGGTACCGGTGAACTTTATCTAGATTGTGTTATGCATGATCTTCGTCGAATGTATTCTGAAATTGGTATGTTTCTTCTATTCTTCGAAAAACATTAATCCTTTTTCTTTCGCAAATATTTAGAAATCAAAGTGGCTGATCCTGTTGTAACATTTTGTGAAACTGTTGTTGAAACTTCTTCATTAAAATGTTTTGCTGAAACACCAAACAAAAAGTAATCATTTAATTCTGAGGTTTTTTCTTTCTTTTTCATCAATTTATTTTTAGAAATAAATTAACTATGATAGCTGAACCATTGGAAAAAGGTTTAGCTGAAGATATTGAACAAGAAGTTGTTCATATTGGTTGGAATAATAAACGCATTAGTGATTTTTTTCAAAATCGTTACGAATGGGATATTCTTGCTAGTCGTTCAATATGGGCATTTGGACCTGATATAAATGGGCCAAATATTCTTCTTGATGATACATTATCACATGAAGTTAATAAAACATTATTAACATCAGAACCGGTTAAGGAATCAATTGTACAAGGTTTTCAATGGGCAACAAGAGAGGGACCTTTATGTGATGAACGTAAGGAGAAAGAAAAGAAGAAGTTTATTTTAGTTTTTTTGAAAAATTATTCTTTTATTTTAGCAATTCGAAATGTGAAATTTAAAATTTTGGATGCATCTATTGCTCAAGAACCAATTCATCATGGTCGAGGGCAATTAATTCCAACAGCTCGACGTGTAGCTTATTCATCGTTCTTACTAGTTAGTATCTTCTGACTTATAAAACTCAATCTTTAAGTTCCATTTGAAACAGGATTCCTAAATTAAAGATTTTAAAATTAAACAGAAGAAAACAAGAAAAAATCTGATGAATCTTCATCTAAATTATTTATCCATAAAATTATTTTTGCAGTCTAGCTCTCAGGACTAACACTGACGAACGACATCGAGCTTTAAAAAGACAGATATTCGAAATATTGTTAAAGTTTACCTAAAATCAATATTATTTCATCATAAAAACTAATTCGTTCAATAAATTTAGGCAACACCTCGTCTTATGGAACCATACAATTTTGTTGAAGTTATTGCTCCAGCTGATTGTGTCTCAGCTGTTTACACAGTTCTTGGTCGTCGTCGGTAAATATTATATTTTATTCATTTATGAGAAAAAGAAACTAAGTGAAAATATTTCTCGTATAGTGGTCATGTTACACTTGATGCACCAGTACCTGGTTCACCACTTTATACACTTAAAGCGTTTATTCCAGCTATTGATTCAATGGGTTTTGAAACAGATCTTCGTACACATACACAAGGTCAAGCATTTTGTCTATCGGTATTCCATCATTGGCAGGTATGAATATAATCTATTTTTCTTTCAGGCGTATAATTTAGTTTATTAATATGAAAATTTTAATTGATTAGATTGTTCCTGGTGATCCACTTGATAAATCAATTGTTATTCGTCCATTAGAAGCTCAACCTGTAAATCATTTAGCTAGAGAATTTATGATTAAAACACGACGTCGAAAAGTAAATATTTTAATTTGAAAAATAAAATCTATTTTGTTTTTATTTGTTTCTTAGGGTCTTAGTGAAGATGTCAGTATTAATAAATTCTTTGATGATCCAATGTTACTTGAATTAGCTCGACAAGATGTGTTACTTAATTATCCAATATAGATTAACAAATTTGAAAATAACTGTCAGATTCATATTGTGTGTCTGTGCGTCTATCTGACAATGTTGTTCTTGTTGTTATTAAAATAAAATTTTCATATAAAAAAAAATAGATTCAAGCAAACTAGAAAATTCTTTAAAATTTACATCATCTAAAGATAATATTTGATTAATTAGACAGTATATGTTCAATTTTAACTAAAGAAAAGTAATTAAATTGAAAATTATCGACTGACGTTATAATATCGAAATATCTGAATCTTATTATCAGTAGAAAATCTTGATCATGCAAATTTCGATATTGTTTTATTTTATGGAAAATGATTTGCTCTATGTTAAATTTAAAAAAAACATTCAGCTAAAAATCATTTACATATAATGAATTAGTTTATTCGTCAATTCAACTATACTATTGCAATATATATAATCAAGCCCATCTCGGTTTTTTTATCTACCTTTTAAATAAATAAAGGAGAAAAAAGTGCAATAAGACAGACAGGTAGATATTTATATAACATTATCTTATTATCTTCTTTATTCACAGAACTACAGTATATGATATTTAGTTATCAGTGATAAAAAAAATATACAGCACGAGAAAGAGTAATAAATAAAAAGAAGACATGGCTGCACCTGATGGAAGATTTGGCACTTTATATAATCGTATAACACGTACACATGTTATTATTACTGCTTTTATAGTTCTTGGTTTACTTTCATTCTCATTACTTATTACTGCTATTGTTCAAGCACATAGTCGCGGACAAAATACTAATACGAATACGGATACAGTTATTGATAAGAATGGCAGTTGTCTTACTCAAGGATGTATTTCTGCAGCAAATTATCAATTACGTTCAATAGATTCTACAGCTTCTTCAAGTATATGTACAGATTTTTATAAATATGCATGTGGTGGTTGGAAACAAACACATTTTATTCAATCGAATGACGTTGAACGTACAATAATAGGTGATATACTCAATAGACGTGATGCTGACATTGAACGTCTTCTTGATGCACCAATTCCTCAATCGAATCCACAAAGTTGGGAATATAAACTTAAGGTTTGCTTTTGAAAAATTTTTGTATTTTTAATTCATATATAATAATATAATTTAGACATATTATTCTGAATGTATTGATGATTATGCACGTATACTTGATAGTGGAAAATATATGATAGGAGTTCTACAAGATCCACAAACTATTGATGGTTGGTTTTTATTTGATAATAGTGCAGCAAATGCTAGTCAAACATCTTTATTAAAAAATCAAAGTTATTATACACAATTATCTCATATACATGGAGATTTTGGTAAATCAAGATATATGTGTTTTGTTGTTTTAATATAAAATGTATTATTTTTTATTAGGTGTCACAGCTTTATTTGGTATACGTACTAAATTTGATGAAACTGATCCAAGTGTAAAACGACTTGAAGTATAGAAAATCGAATGAACATGATTGATTATATATGACTATTCTTTTTTTTTTAAGTTTCATCCAGCTGGTTTGACAATGGAAATAAATGATTATGTGGGCAATGACGATATAACGCAGGGCGTAAGTTGAATGCATCTTGAGGGTGTGGGTCTGAGTAGGACAGTAACAACTATGCCCACACCCGCTCTCAATAAATTAGTGTAAATATTTACGAATTTATTTTAAAATTTTTTGATTTGTTTGCAGCGTCAAGCAGCATATCAACTTTATATAACTGATGTCGTAGGTATATTAGCAAGAGAAGCTAAGATAACTGATGAAAATCTTACGGATCGTGCATTTACTATTGCTAATGATGCATTTACTATTGAAAAACTTCTAGCTGAAGTATATATATGAACACTAATTATTCAAAAGAAATATTATATTGAATATATTTAGAGTCTTCAACGTCATCCTACTGATAATAAACCAGTTGTAACAAATTTACAAAACATGTCACAAGCATTTTCAGTAAAATCTTCGAAACAAAAAAACAGACACTGATTACTTGATTGAAATTTTCTTTTAGTTTGATTTTGCTGCATTAATGGGACATGAATTAGCTGATCCAAATGTTATAAACATCTTAACACCTGTTTATGTAACAAATCAAATGTATTTTCAAGATGTATTCGGAACTATACTAGCAAATGAAGAGTAAATAAATCATTTTTTATATTTTTAAAAATTTTTTCAATTTAGTCCAATATATCTTCGAATGGTACATAATTATTTACGATGGCGTTTACTTTCGACTTACATTGAAGATCTATCATATAATTATGTTCATGCACATCGAATATTCTTGAGTGCTTATTATGGTTATTCATTACATACAACAAATGAAGCTTTTTGTGCACGTGAAGTTATACGTCGTTTTCCACTTGCTATTCAACGTTTATATACAATGAATTCTGTAGGACATTCAACTTTAACAACAGTAATATATCTGTTAAATTCATATAAAATAAAATCATAGTTTATTCTTGTTTAGGTTCGAAATATATTTCTTGCATTAAAAGATGGATTGAAACAATATATTAACGAACATGCAACATGGATGGAGGATGAATCAACAAAGAGATATGCTAGAGAAAAAATTGATGCACTTACAGAATCTATTGGTTATGCACACATTGCTTCGGATGATACATTATTAAATAATTACTATGCTGAAGTAAAATTGAATGTCTTCTTTTTCTTTGAAAGATTTTATTTTTAAATAATTATTTAGTTTGAAGTAACTGATGATTCACATTTTTTAAATGCAATTAATTATCATCGTTTTCATCGTTGGAGTTTATCAACATCGTTAGCAAATGCAGGTATACTTGATCATTGGGATTTATTTGAAACACGAACAAGTCGACTTTTTGATTATATTGCTTCATTTAATCGACTTTTTGTTGTTGGAAGTGGTATGCATGAACCACTTGTTGATTCTCAATGGCCATGGTAAAATTAGATTTTTTTACTGGTGAAAAAAAAATTGATTTTGCTTCTTTTAAGGCCTATGAATATGGGATCATTAGGAGTTCTACTTGCTCAAAAACTCTTCGCTAGTATAGATGGTCCAGAAGGTAAATAATTACAGTTACATTTATTGAATATATAAATTTCAAAAAATTTAAGGTCGAACACATTTGGCAAATGGAACACAATTCGATTGGTGGGCATCGCCAACAATACTCGGCTACAATAAAAGTCGTGACTGTATAACTAATTATTATGTAAATGATTTAAAGCATGTAGACATTGATATAAATGGTGCTCTTATACGTGTTCGATTAGCTGGTGAACCATTTTCCTCAACAACACTTCGACATATTGGTGCACTTCGTTTTGCATATAATGCTTTAATGAAAGATGATCAAATGAAATCATTTAAAATGCCAGGAACATATTATACAAGTGCACAAACATTTTTTCTTGCTTATGCTCAAACACAATGTTATCAAAGAGATGGACTTTTCGAAGTCGTACGAACGCAATTAGGTACTTATGATGAACAAATAGCATTAAATACTGCTCTTATTCATATGCCAGAATTTGCTCAAGCATTTCAATGTACACCGACACAAGATAAATGTTTTGATTAATTAAAATAAATATAAATTTTTTTATTTCTTTTAAAAAATAAATACTTTTCAAATGCTCATGAATATTCAATCTTTTTATCATTGTGAAGATACTATAAAATATATAAGGGCTTATTGTTTTAGCCATAAATAATCTAATCTTTAACCTTCATTTGACCTACTTATATTGGCATTTGTACCCAGCGAAATGTTTAATGAAGAACGATAAGAAATCATACGATTACCATATTTAGTCATTGCATTAGAAAATTAAACTTTAATCATATATACTTTTTGTTTAATTTATTTTTACGGATAAGACAAACTTTGAATAAGCTTATCTCAATTCTGATGTTCATATGGAAAAAATACAGAAAAATAAAAATCATAAACAAAAACCGAAAGACTAACTAGATAATATCAATACCAAGTGATGTTTGTTTTTTACTGATGAGAAATAATAAAACTACTTAAAAGATGCCACATAGAAACACAAAAATCTTAAGTATGAATGTATATTTTTTTCATGAATACATTATAGAAACTTTAATAATTTCGATTAGCTTCAAATAATGATTCACCACCAGCTGCACCACCAACACCACCTTTATATTCACCTTTTGCAGCGGCACCATTAGCCTAGGAAAAACAAAAAAGTTATTTGAATAAAATAAATATTTATTTTCTTACTTGAGCACGTTTAACAAGTTGATCTTGTGCATTGGTTATATTTTCGGATTTACCACCCCATGCAGTAAGAACACTAGCTTGAAGTGCTCGTCCATAACTGAAAGTTAATGCCCATGGTTTTTTGCCTTTATATTGATTAATAGCATTTAAATTAATTGAAGCTTCTTCTTCGGATTGACCACCTTAAAAATAAATTTTTATTTATTGAAAAACAAAATATACAACATACCTGAAAGAAAACAAATGCCCGGTACAGCAACAGGTACTGTTCTTTGTAATGCTGTTACAGTTGCTCGAGCTACTTCTTCTGGAGTGGCTTTTTTCTTACAATCAAAACCTAAATATAACAAATAAGAAATAGTTTTTATTCAGACATAAACAAAAGGTTGTTTTTCTACATACCAGCAGTAACCATATTTGGTTTAAGTAATGTTCCTTCCAAGAAAACATGATGTTCACTAAGTGATTTGTATGTTGCAGCTAATACTTTTTCTGTTACACGTTGACATGTTTCTATATCATGATCTCCTTCTGGTAATACCTAAATATAATCGAATAAAAATTTATAGAAAAACAATTTCAATTATTAAACTTACTTCTGGTTCAACAATTGGTACAAGACCATTCTAAATAAAAATGAGAGAAAAATAAATTACGTATAAAAATCATTTTTATTTTATATACTTGTTGACATATCGATGCATAACGTGCTAAAACATTTGCGGTTTCTCGAATACCTAATTCCGATGGTAAACCATCACCGATTTTTAAAGCACATCCTAAATAAATCAATATTTTATAATTCAAAAAACAATCTTAATTAAATTACATACGCCATTTAGCAAAACGAGCACCATCTTTATAATATTGTGCACATCGTTCACCAAGACCATCAAGACCTTGTGTTGTATTTTCACCATCAGTGCCAGCCAATGGTACAAGACCTTTATCAACTTTAATACCTGGAATGATACCTTTTTCTTTTAATATTTGTCGAAATGGTTTGCCATTATCATCTTCTTGATATAATGTTTCATGAAAAAAGATTACACCAGATACATGATTAGCAAGATCTTTTGAACCAGTAAAAAGCATTTGACGATATAAACGACGATTTTCTTCATTATTTTCAAGGCCAATGGGTTGAAGACGTTTACCTATGGAACCTACACAAAAAAACATCATAAAATACAAAAGTATTTATCTAGATTTTATTACCAGTTGATTCATCAGCTGCTAATAGACCTTTGCCTTTTGCCATAAGAAGATTGGCTGTTTCAACCAATTCTCTTTCTTTATCAGGAGATAAATATTGAGGCATGCTAAAATATATATTAATTATATTAAATTAATATTCTGTAATATCTTACTTTAATGAATAATATATGGTTCAAAGATAAATTATCTATAATATAAAAACGTAAACATGAAAAACAAATTCATCATATTATTCTATCATGTGAAGAGAAACAGGGGCGTGTCTGACTGTTTTTCTTTTCGTTTACCCTATGTCGATTATCGAAACGCAATAGAAAAGCGAATAAAATGGCGATGTAAGCATTGTTAATAGAAAGAACGAAAGAGAAAAAAAACGCAAAACTCAGTTCTATTTATAATGAAAAGAATGATATGATATCATGCGTAAATAAAATATGACCATATACTTTACAGATAATTATTTCTAAAAGTACTAGAAACTAACAAAAAGAAACACTTTATTAACACGCAATATGTATTATTGTTAAATAAAAACAGTTTGATCTACTTTTTTATGAAAGAAAAAAGAATAAATAGTAAAGTTGAATTTTTTTGATCGATGTTTGATAAGGCATTAAGTAAATTTCATTATCTAGCGATGATATAGATAATAGATATAATAGAATAAAAATTTTGCATAGACATAAATGATTTGCTTTTTTTAATGAAAATAATGTCAAATCGTATACTAAGTAATAAACGAAGGAAAAGCATAAATTAAGAAAAATATTTTTATTGTATTCGTACGACGTTGATATTTGATTCTTGTCATGTCAATAAATAAATGTACTTGTTATTTGATTAAGGATATACATACTAGATACAAAAATTATTATTGGACGTTGTTTTATAGAAAGTTTCGAACGTCTAAACTTCTATCGATCCTCGGCAAATAACGAAAGAGTGAATATATGAATATTGACATAAATACGATTTCATCTAGGGAAAAGAAAGCAAAAGATTCCTTATGACTCCTCTAGTATATTTGAAAAATAAAGAAGAAGTCGAAAACAAGTTAATATATACACACACACACGCATAGTCTATGTTTCCAATGTAATAAGTGTGCATAGAATGATTTTTTCGCATAAACTATTCGATGAATACGTGATTGTTATTATAGTAAAAAAATAAATAAGAAATTTTAACATAATAATACGAAACTGTAATAAGTGACATCTATTGTTATCAATCAGCTGATATAAAAATAGTCAAGGCTCTTGGTCTGACTCATGAACATCGTAGTTTATTTTTACATAACTTGTCAACAATCACGAAATTTTGAATTTAATGAACTATTATCATGTTATCCTATATAATCATTTCTATTTATCTATTATCAACACATACATATTATGACTTCGTCTTCCATATATATAATTAAAACTAAATTATTGACTTCATTTAAAATCGATTTATTCCATATTTTGTTTTTCTATTAACTAATAATTATAACGCAAAATAATACAACAAGTTATTGAAATATTTTTATGCGATTATTGATGTAGAAGAATTAATTATTATGTTAATCAAAAGGCAAATCTATTCAATGCAATCATCATGTATTTAACCTCAATCAATACAATGAAATACATTCAGTTCATGGTAAAAGAAAGTTGCTTAGCAATTGTTGAGAGACAATAAGAATTATAGGTACCTATATGGAATTCACTTTTGGAAATACATGGTGGTTCTATAGTTTTAATTCGATAAGATACTTTAAGAGTTAAATATTAGATAATCAACGTAATGGTATTATCAGTCATCTTATTGTGTTGTATTTACTTCGGAATGATTTAAAACATGTTCGATCATCTGTGAATTATTTTTTTATTTTGGAAATCATGAAAATTCGAAGGTATAGAAGAATCCAATGCATTAAGATGATAGAGTCCTCTGACATATTTGAATACATTATAAAAATGATGGTAATAAAATTCTGAACAGTTTATCTATAAATGAAACAATCCAGTGGCGGATCTAGGATTTTGGAAGGAAGGGGCGATTCCTGACTAGATAGGGGCGATACCTGAGTGGAGGGGGGCGATTTCGGCTAAAAACAATTTTTGAGTCCAATCGAAGTAGTGTGAATCTATTTTTCGTTCATTTTTGTTGTAAAAAATCAAAAAAAAAAATCCTAAAGAGGGGGGGGCGATTGCCCCCATCGCCCACCCTTAAATCCGCCACTAAAACATTCCTTCCATTATTAGCGAATCAATTCAATGAAGCACGTAGTCAAATAACGCCTAACATTCTTTATGAGAACAAACTGATCTTTTAGGAGAATACTATTCTAGATATATGCATGATACTCTTCACTAGGATTAAAAATAACTAACAACTCATGTTTATCATATATCGGAAATTCATATGTTATGATGATCTATATAAATATATCGTATTGGAAAATATTTATCTTTGATTCTGATGAAACATTTTCATTAAATACTAACAAATTCGTTTGTTTTATTTCTGTAATTTTTTTTACTTTATAAATAATTCAATACAATTTTTTTAATTGTAGATAAAATGAAACTGAATAAATAATCTCTTTTTTTATCAAGATGAGTGTTGATGATTATAATAATAATAACAGTAACAATGAACAAATTCAATCTCTTACACGTGATCTTGAATTAATGCGTGAACGTTATTTAAAATTAGTTGATGTTCATGGAAAATTACAACAGGAAACGAGTGTATTAGAAGAACGAATTCTTTCAATTGTTGAAACATATTCAAATGAAAGAAATCAATTAGAACAAGATTTAATTGATGCTAAACATAAAATTTTACATTTACAAGATACAGTTGATGATTTAGAAATTGAAAAACAACGATATAAAAATGATTGTAATCTAGCTGTTAGACTTTTACATCGACATCCAAATGAATTTATGCCACCACCACCATCAACAACAACATTAGAACAAATTCAAGAACAATCGAAAACTAAAAATGAATCCGTAAAAAATAATTTTTAGTGTTTATACTTATTAGAAATCTATATTTCAGGTAGCTACAAATCAATCTCAACATAGTTTAATAATACCTACTTTTCCGCCAATGTTTGTTCAATCAATTCCATCGTTCAATACAAATACTTCTTCTTCATCTCCAGCAGTTAGCCAACCTCCTGCATCAACTACTAGTGATACTCTTCGTTTTGCTGAATCATTATTTAAAACGAACAATGTACATCGTTATCCTTCTACACATTTTATTTGTTCAAATTGTCATCAAACAATTAAATGTCATGATGTTAGTGTTCAAACATCTCTTGATGATCGTAGTGCCACAACTCGAACACGCCTTATATCTCTTACAGCATCCGATGACAGTCTCGATACTGATTTAGCATGGAATTCACTTGAACCACATCACGCACATATGACAGTACAAGAATATCAAACGGGACATGCAAGAAGATCATCTCAAGATGCAGGATTACCTTCCAATTCTATTCCTCAGATGCATCATGTTTAAAAAATAAAGCTTTTTTATTGTTAAAAACGATCTGCTTAATTAAATATATATAATTTTAAGCTTTTGATAATAGGGAAAAAAAGATATGTATGTTAATACGAATCAAATTGATAACTGACTTAAATATAATCTATTATATATGAAATATCGAAAGTTAGTAGAGGAAATCACATCAAAATGTGTCGACTTCTTGACTTCTAGAAAGTCCGACAAAAAAAATAGTTGAATACAAGTTTAACAATAGTCTTAATGTCATCAACCAATCTATTATCTCATGTTACGAATTATGACATAATTATCCCATTATCATTAATTTGCATTTCAGTAGCTTTTATTATAGTCTATATAGCGTTGACATTAGTTATATATTTATGAACCAATAACATATAATTACATATTTATTCATATATAATGGATCGATTGCGTCAATCTTCTATTGTTAAGTTCAACCAATTAATTCTATTTTTATTTTTTTAAAAAAGCAAATATTATTTTCATGACAATATCGAAAGTTTTCGGTTATATAACCGCTGCAATTATTATATGTTCAAGCTATACGATTAACAATCTATGGCAAAAAATAAAATTAAAATCAAGAAATTCGTTTATACATCATATACTATACTTTTAACCCCTCCCCCCCTCCCCCACAATAAAATGCCCTCTAGAGGGGTAGAGAGATTTTTCCCCGAAAGAAGTTCAAGTTCCGAAACCATAGCAGAAGGCTCCAGCCTTTTTATTACGGGGAGAGGTTTATAATATTTCAGAATACTTAGTAGATCAATACTGGATCATATAACATGTATAGTTTTATTCATACATTTATACTAGTATAAATAATGCTCATGATTAGATTACATTGCATTCATGTGCATATACTTATTTGGATTCATCGTGAATGGGTCGGTATTTATTGGTCATCTCTAATTGATTTTTAATGGTTAACATATTGAATATCTTAATATGGAATTAATAATGTCAATAAATTTTATTTGATGTAAAATATTGAAATAAAGTATATTGATAAGTCTTCTTATGAACTATTTTTTTATGCAGTTATATCCGTGAATAAACAGTGTTAGAGTTTGTTCATATTACACACATCAAAAAAATAACTTGTTGATGTATATGTAACATTTAGAAAAAGTCTTTCTTAAAACTTGCAAAGAAATAGTTAAATTATGTGATTTGTATTTGTATTCATGTTCGCGACCGTTTATAGAACAGTATAAATATCTCGTAACTATATACATTGATTCGAGTACGATCTGATTGAAGGTAAAAACGTAGTAAAATATATATCACTATCCTCTAGCCTATTTTATTATGCATGTCTTTCGTAATTTTAAAGCCTTTTCAAGTACAAGTTAATCACTGCTTGAAGACACTCTAGCATAGTGCATCCTCTACATGTGTAAATATATATTTATTCTCTTTCTTCCACACATTATATTTTCTTCCTATTTTGCACATATTCAAGCGCTGCTTTATTGTCATCAAGCAGAATCTCTATTATTGATAGAGCCTACAAACGTCTAATTATAGATGATTATCAATGTCATTATCTAACTACTTCATTCATGATGATTTATCAATATGAATTAAAAATAGATGCATTCAATAAATAAATTTCTAGTGGTACATATGTAACTATTAGACATAGAAGTCTTAATATTTCAATGTAAATATCTTAGAGATCAATATTTGAGAAAGTGTTTATTTGAGTTTTCGATGGACATATTTTTCAAACGTTTTTTTTTCATATTATAATCATTTACTTTTTATTTTTTGAAGTTCTCTCTCCCTCTCAGAAAATATCAATTTATATTAACATATCCAAATACCATTTGATAAAGAAGAAGACAAGAGAAAAAAAAGAAGAAAGAAAATTAGAGAAATTATACACATAACCGCATCTGTTTAACGAGAGAAAGAATAGAACCAACAACAGATAAAGAAGAGAAAAGAAAATATGACGACAATGATAATGAAGACAAAGAAATCGCTTTTTTTTAGATTTTTTTTCTAGATTTTTTGACTGATTAATAGAATACATTGACTGATATTTTTTTTCTTTTGTTTTACATGCAATTAATACAATTTGATTGTTTAATGCCTTGTGATGGACCAGGAGTTATTCCCGATGGTCCTTCGACTGAATTTACTGGAGTTTTTTTAAGTATGAGTCTTGCCATTTCAAAAAACGCTTTTTCAATATTAATATTATTTTTCGCTGATGTTTCGAGAAATTGTATTCCATGTTCTCGTGCAAGTGCATCACCACGTGTTCGTGTAATACAACGTTTATCGTCCATATCGCATTTATTACCAATGAGCATTTTAACAACATCATCGGATGCATGATCATCGATATTACGTAGCCATTTATTTATATTTTCAAATGATCGTGCTTGTGTAACATCATAAACAAGCATTATACCAGTTGCTCCTCGATAGTAAGATGCTAAAATTATATATTCAATAATTTATAATTTCATTCAATAAAAAATCTTACTAGTTATTGTATGGAATCGTTCTTGTCCTGCTGTATCCCTATAGAATAGAAATAAATACTTATATTAAGACATTTGTTTTAGTTCGAATTAAAACGCTGTGTCAAGTCACGGCAATTTGTTGTAATACTGTAAAAACTTATTAATAAATATTCAGACGTACGTTTAAGTATCTTCAGAATAGAGAAAAGTGTTCCGATCAAATAGGAATTATTTTTAATATCAATGGAAAATTTACACATTGGTTCAATAGCTTCAATGTTTAACTATTATATTTCATAGAACTTTACTATCAACTATTTGAACAATATCGGAAACCATATTGATTTGATTATTGTATTTATCAAATTCTTTGCAAACAAAGATTCGCAATCAATCATAGAACATATAGACTAAGAAAGCAAATATATATATATGGTTAAATAATCGCTTGACATTGAAGTTAACGATATAGCATACAAAATCTTTGACAAAGACTGGAAAAATAATCACTTGAATCGAAAAAGAAATATTTCAACATCGTATTCAAAGCCATAAAATCACTTGCTGTTAAACTTTGATTTTATGAATAATAAAACATCAATAATCTCTTGACAAGACCTCCTACTTCTCAATATCAAGATATTTCTTTGAATTACCCGACAGTTTCATTGTCGCGAGACAAAATTTTATGATGAATATTTTTTAAGATGTGTTCTTCAATAAAAAAAATCTCAGTTTTAACTATTGCATTTCTTTTTTTTTTCGACTCATGTATAGAATAAATTCTATAGATAGACTTGATTATATAACGAATCATATGAATAACACGCAATATTATTCATACATATAGACGACAGGTAAAGATGATTATCGTTCTAAGTACATATTAAATATTTTCTCTCTTTTCTTAAAAGGAAATTGATGAAATTATAGAAAAATGACTTATCTATTATGTTGATTTACATCTGTCACATGAAGACATTTTCTATAGTCATGATTAACTTACCATATTTGTAATTTAATTTTACGTCCATCAAGCTCGATTGTTTTTATTTTAAAATCTATGCCAATTGTGGAAATAAATGATGCATTAAATGAATCATCAGAGAATCGAAATAAAATGCACGTCTTTAGTGGAAAGAAACAATAAGTTTAACTATTTTTGTACTTTTAATTGACTTACTTTGCCAACGCCGCTGTCGCCGATCAGTAATAATTTAAATAGAAGATCATAATTTTTTTTGGCCATTCTCAGGCCTAAGTTCTACAAATAGAAAATTAATTATATTTTTTATTTCATGTCTATCATCATCAATGATAGTTAAGATAATCTATTTGTAGATACACATATAATATATATATATGTATGGATCAAAAAAGAACTATCTATAGAAAGGTCATTATATCCTTAATATCATTTATACATCAATCAACAATAAGAATGAAAACTACCTTCTGACTTATGTCAACAATGGATGAGGTATCACGCTTGAGGGATTGATGTCGACGAGATGAGGATGATGTACGTTCATGTAACCAATGTTGAGCATATTCACTCGTACGTTTTAATGAAAAACAACGGCGATGATGATAATGATGATGACCAGACATGACTGACGACATTCATTCACTTGTATAACAACTGACTATCTACCATAGCTGACACACATCAGGTGTTGAAGAAGGAGAGAAACGGAAGGAAATCGAATATTACTCTCGATCCTATGGCAGTAAAGGCAACAGAATAAGCATGATCAACATTTCTCTTTTTTTTTTCTTCTCTTTTCTTCCATTTATTTCATCTGTGTATATACGCCTATCACTGTTCATCTATATGGTAAACGGCAAAAAACCGCAAAAAAAAGAACGAGAGAGAGACAGAGAAGAAAGAAGGAGACGCGGAACGACAGCTATCGTAAATGTATTTACACTGTACTTCAAGGCAATCTAATAAACGTTTCGGTTAGATATAAAACTAAATCAAAGACCAATTTCCCACGCTATGCGTTCATTCTAATTACGAGAGAAAAAGATGAAATAAATTTTTTTGCTATAATCTATTCTTTTGTTGTGTATAGGTGGAATTCACACAGAGAAAATAAAATATAATATGAGGACAAGAATAAATCAAAACTAGGACAAAAAAACAAACAAATAGTAAGTTGCGTATATGGATAGGAAAGTCGAATATAATTTTTTTTCTTCTTCTTGAATATAGAATATTCCTATATATATTAGGACAAAAACAAAGCTATAAGAGAAAAACAGGATCGAATAAAGCCAATGTTAAATTGAAAAAGACAAGAAAAACCAACAAAAGAATAATGGTAAATGGTGCTCGAAAATTTCTGTTTTTCTGCTTAAGATCGATCAGATCTTGTTCTTTTTTTATAATTCGAGAAAGATTGAACGTGAATCCTCGACATATTGTTTAATTTTTCGGAGGAATAGGACAGCATCTCGACCGTCCAATATACGATGATCGTATGTAAGTGCTACAAACATCATTGGACGAATCTCAACCTAAATAAATTAAAAAAATGTTAAACAAAAAAATTAAATTAACAACATACTTTGCCATTAATAGCTACTGGTCGATCAAATATTCCATGCATACCAAGAATAGCTGATTGCGGTGGATTAATAATTGGTGTGCCAAATAATGAGCCAAATACTCCTCCATTGCTTATTGTAAATGTACCACCATCCATATCTTCAATTGCAAGTGAACCTTTTTTTGCTTTTTCACCATATTCACCAATTGTTCGTTCAATTTCAGCATAATTCATTCTTTCAACATTGCGAATAACTGGTACAACTAAACCTTTTGGTGCAGCAACAGCTACACTAATATCAACATAATCTCGATAGACAATTTCATTTCCATCAATAACTGCATTGACAATAGGATTGTCAACAAGTGCGCATGCGGATGCTTTAACAAAAGCAGACATAAATCCTAATTTCATATTATGACGTTTAAGAAATTGATCAGCATATTTTTTACGAAATTCAACAATATTACTAAATATAATACATTATTTATAAATATATATATATATGTATTATTAATTAGATTTACCTCATATCAATTTCATTAAATGTTGTTAACATTGCACATGTATTTTGTGCTTCTTTAAGACGTTCAGCAATTCTTAATCGCATTCGTGTCATTTTAACTCTTGTTTCTGATCGTGTACCACTTATTTTATTTGGATCACCTCCACCGCTACTTGGTGCTTGCTGTTGTTGTTGTTTAGCAGGTGTAACCGAAATTTGAGATGTTGAAGTTTCACGTTGTGGACCTTTGGGTGTTGAAGGTACAGAAGGTGTTTTAGTTGGAGCTGCACCACTAGTATCAGATGATTTTTTTGATGATTCTTCTTTAGCTTTTTCGGCATCAGCTTTTTCTGATGCAGCTCTTTCTATTTTTATTTAAAAAATAAAATGAACATCGAAGAAGAAATTCATTGTAAGACTAAACTAACCTTTTTTAGCTGATTGAGGATGAACGCCACCACCAGCTGTATTAACTTTTGCTACTACTGCACCGGATGTTACATTGTCACCATCAGCAACAAGTAATTCTTCAATAACACCTCCTTGTGGTGAATTAACACTTAGATTTGTCTTATCTGTTTCAATTTCAGCTATTGTTTCATCAGCAGAAATTTTGTCGCCGACTTTTTTTAAAAAACGTATTGTACCATCTTTAACCGATTCAGGAAATGATGGTGTTGACACAGTTACTGAATCGACTGATGAAAAAAGAAATTATATAACAGAAGAAATAATCATAGAATAAATACATACAAAGAATAGGACTTGTATGAAGACGTCGAGTCAATGCATAGACGCCGCCATTTGATGAATCAATGAGTGTTTGATCAGAAAGTCTCTATAAAGAATGAATTATTTATTCCGGTATTACAATGAATAGAAGAAAAAAAGAAAAGGAAGTTGTTTCAACAGTATTCGCATTAATATCTTACTCGGTTTGTAAATTTATTATTTTCTGTTGATACAAATCGAGTTGATGCTGAAGATAAAGTAGACGATGAATATTGTTGTTGATATAAACTCGATCGATGTGGATATGCTGTACATTTCGTACCAGCTACAACAGCTGCTGCAGCTGTTGAATTCGAGCGTAGAGCTCGTAATGATGCGCTACGCAATGAAACTATATGAGACATGCCTATCTAAAAATTCCAACACCAAAATTAATACAAAATATTTCTATCACTGACATATACGACTAGGTGACATATAATTAAAATATTATTACACTTATTTATCATTCTCCACGATATACAACAATATTTTTTTCTGTTTCATATATTTTAATTTCATATAATTGAGCACTATTATTATTATTATAATGTTCAATTGTTGAAAATAATTGTTGCCAAATAAATACAATAAGATTTTCAGTTGTACTAACAAGTTTTTTACTACGAAAATATTCGACATCTAAATCTAAATTTTTATGATCAACCAAATCAAGTACATGCATTTGAATTAAAGTTTTAAGATCACTTATATTCATAACCATGCCTGTATTAGAATCAATATGACCAACAACAGTTACTTCAAGTACATAATTATGACCATGTCCATTAGGATTATTGCATTTGCTATATATCTGAGTATTATCATTCTCTGATAAATGCACGGAATGAAGACGATGAGATGCGGAAAATGTTTCTCGTCGTGTTAAATAGACTTTTGGTCCACGTGACATAATCTATTATCTAAAATACAAATTTATTAATATTATTATTATTATTATTATTCATTGTTACTGTAAAAATAATCAGATAAATGCTTTATTACACAAAAAATTCCATTAATTACCCTGAGACTAAAATATAAAATAATACATGAATTATATCACAGAACAAAAACAAAAAAAAAATGCGATAATTTATTGACTTGATTTCGTTTGAAGATTATCAATTGACCATTGATCAGTTACTGTCCATGCTTGTTCACCAGCAATAAATGTCGATAAAATATTAAGGCTTTTATCAAGAAAAATAAAATCAGCATCAGCACCAAATGATAATGTACCTTTTTGATTTTCAATATGAAGTACTATAAACAAGAATAGATAAAAATAAATGACTTTATAACAAAATTCTGTAAACGTGACATTTCCTTTTTTTGAAATATGATACTAAATCGATCTCTTCTCGAAATCTTCAACATTCTTCCATTGGAGTATAAAATGTTTGTTTTCTTTTTAACCTGAACGAAAGCACCCGCGAGCCTCTTCCATGTAAATATTATTTTTGAGTTTCAATGCATTTCATATGTATTCGAAACGTGTGTAAAAGTGTTTCACTGCTTTTTTCAATAAAGTTTTGTAACTTATTAATATTAATGTAAATAATTATCAGAGTTAAGAAACCGGATCTTTTTTTTCTAACAGAAACGCGATTCTTTCTTCCATTGAACTCTTTCAATAGCTGTATTTTAACCTTTCGATGAGAAGACCTACCTTGAGCTGGATGAAGAGTTGCTGCTTCAATCGATTCCACAACAAATTGAGTACTATCTTTTTCATTAATAATTTCTTTATTTGTTTCTCCATCAAGTAATGCTTGTCTCATATATTGAACACATTCTGCTAATGATGCAATACTACCACATAATGTTTCTGTACCAGCTATAGTTGCTCGTTTACCATTCACAACTATTTCATGAGCGCCCATATGATAAGTACCATCAGGAAATCCTAATGCAGGTACAGCATCAGTAACAAGAACAAGACCGTGAGGATGTACACGATGAGCAAGACGTACGGCAGCTGAATGTGTATGAACTGTATCAACAATTAAACCATAATATACAATTGTCGTTGCTGGTAGAGGATGTGTTGTTAAAAGACCTTTTTATTGTATAATGAAAATATATTTAAAACTAAAACCTAAATTTTTCGTGTTTCATACCAACAAGACCGGGATCACGGTGATGAAATGGTAACATTGCATTGAATAGATGTGTAATAAATCTAGCACCAGCAAGAATAGCACGTTCACCACAATCAAGTGTTGCAGTTGAATGACCAAGTGATACAACTAAATCATGTCTTGCAACTAATTCCGGTATAACATTTTCAACCATATTTGGAAGTTCAGGTGCAAGTGTAATTATTGATACATTTTCAAATGAACCATAACAAGTTTTTAAATCTTCAATACCACATTCACTTTTGCGAAGAAAATCAGTTCGATGTGCACCACGTTTGTTTTCGGCAATGAATGGACCTTCAATATGAATACCTTGAAGAAAAAAAATATTTATAAATTGTTTTAAAAATAAATGAATATATTTCTAACCAAGAATAGTTGCACCATCTTTTGCTGAACCAGCTCGTCGTTTATATATTGGTAATACTTCTTGATATGTTTCTGGTAATGAACTAACAATAGTCGGAACAAAAGCAGTAACACCATGTGATGTTAATAGTTTAGCCACCTTGATAAGCATTTCTTCACTTGCTTCATCAGCACTTGAAAAATCATGACCAAATGCTCCATTTATTTGTAAATCAATATATCCTGGAGCAATTAATGCACCTTGACAATCATATTCAATATCAGCTCGAGTTTTTTCACTAAAAAATATTTTTTCTGGATTTATTATTTTTCCATTACGAATCCAAAGGTCATCTTGAATCAATGCATGATCACGTACTAATGTACAATTGTAAAAACGATATAATAATGTCATTTAAAAAAAAATAAAAATTCGTCAAAATAATATAATGATCTTTGTTTAGAAATACTCAGTTAAGTAAATCATCATATGTTATCGAGAAACGAAGAGGGCTGTAGCCATTTTTACATTCTTTTGATTGTTTTATCAAACCAATAGAAATTTTATTTACAGATATTATTAAAGATGTCACTAGACATGATGAATAATTAAAACAGATGTTTTTTATTTATCTGATGATGTATATTTTAAATTCTACAACACGTGATATTTATTGTAATTAGAAAAATCAAAATTTATTATATTGATTGTTCGCAATTTAATGAAAATGTGAAATATGAATATTTTTTAAATGATAAAAAATTCAAAATCATGCGAAAATATAACTAATAGAAATGAATAAAGTCAAATTTTATGATTTTTCTGTATACATAAAAATTCTACAAAAATATATTTTTATTTATAATCTCAGAAATTAATAATTCAAATATAAAGTGATCGATAATATTAAAAAATATTTCTTCAATATAACGAGTCCGTCATAAATAACTGCGCTCTAAGTATTTTTAAGATTTCTTCTCTATTATTCCCGTGATTAAAGCACTTTTTTTTATCAAAAAATAGCGCTTGAAATTCTCTATAAAACCATAGATGACTAGATTGTAAAAATAATGGGCTGGACATAACGAATGGCAGTACTTTTTATTGTAATGTCTTTCTTAATTCGCTCTATTAAAAAACAAAATAGTTAAACATTTTATTTTCATGATGGGCAAAGTATCGTGTGATCAAATTACGACCGTGTGCAAATAATATTTTTCATATTGCATCTTTTGGTATATTTCGTTTTTTAGCAGAGCGGATCAATGAAAATATTACAAAGCAAGTACCGTCATTCGTTATGTCTAGCCCATTATTTTTTTAGAGCCATTTGTATGTCTTTATGTTTCATCTTTTTTTCCAAATATGATTTTGTAGAGAATTGCAAGCGCTATATTTTGATGAAAAGAAGTGTTTCAATCACAGGAATAATAGAAGAGAAATCTTGAAAATACTAAGAGCGTAATTATTTATGGCACATCCATTCGATGAACTAGAAAACTACAGTTACAGATTCATAACTAATATGACCGATGCTAAAGACAATAAAAAAAATAATTTTATGTTAGCTCTTTGTTGTAAACGAAGATTACAATTCAAAAAATGTAAATTTCTGTTTTGTCTAATATGAATGTAATCGATGCAATTTACTTCCAATTATTCAATAGATTTTCTATTCATAGAAATATATTTTGATGTTGTCTATTAAAAATAAAGGTCATTATTCAATCGTTTCAAATTCCATAGAAAGGCAAACATCTTCTCTTCTTCTTCTTCAAACAGAAAGACAAAACCTTACATTATTCAGTACAATAATGATAAACGTAACAACAAATACTACTTTAATTGATAAAATATCTTCCTATGATACTCAAGGTGCTATTATATTTATCATTGGTGTTATAGCATGGTATTCTATAGGTTTTGGTCTAATCCTTATAGATACAATTGGTTTTCGATCAAATCGTATTAAAAAACAAAAATATACAAATGTTTATCGAACAGTTAATGACTTACATGAACAAAAAATACGAAATGATATATTAATAGAACTTACAGATAAAAATAAACGAAAGAAGCTATGGGACATCTATTATGGTAATGAAAAAACTTCTTTATTAACAATAGAAAAAGATAAAATAATTGTTAATTCAATAATAAAACAATTAGAAGAATTGAATGAACAACGTCGTTTACTTCAAAATACTTTATATGGTATAACGCTTGATCAATCAGATGATGATGGTGGTGATGAAACTGAAAATAATCATAGTATTGAATAAAATATATTATTTTTTTCTTTGTCAATATAAAATGATGTATAGTCCCAGTGGTACTTGCATATTGCGTTATACAAGGAAATTCTCTACACGAGAAAGTGTATCTATCCTTGCAAAAACGCCTACGCAAAATACAACACAACGGGGATCATATTATGTATTGAATAAACTGTCAATAAAATATATATGTATATGCTATTTATACTCATTCGTACAATATTAGTAATGGGGTTAGTTTTATATATTGATTCGAAGACGAATAATTTCAATAGAACGAAGAAGAAGAAGAAAGAAAAATTCAGATTTGAAGACATTAAAAAGTACTGCTACTTGTAAAATATACGTCAAGTAAAAGAAAAAAGAAAAATAAATTTGCAAACGGTACTGTTTAGATAAATATATTAATAATTATATATATATATTCCGTTCGAAAAAAAATGAGAAAGAAGAATATATTACTTATGTTTATTCTAGTCAGATGGAAATTGTATTTATTCAGTTCTCTTTTTTTTTGATTCTGTGGTTTTAGCTTAAGAGAAAAAAAATCAATACTAATCTTGATCGAGGGATAAAATGAATCACTAGAAACTCAATAAAGCATTTTTAATATTAGCATAATATATATGCATGAAATGTAAGTAATAGTATTGATATTAAAATTACGAAGAACATTTATTCTTGAAAAGAAATTTTTCGTACTCTCAAAGTTAGTTATACGATGGATGATTTAACAGACGAAAATAGAATCAAATGTTTATATATTATAGAAAATTCATATTGAAATTAATCGAGACATTTTCGAATTACCACAAGTTTAATGGTATTGTTTTATGATCATGAATAGCCAGAAGATAATCTAAGTTCTATTCATATAAATAATATATAAGGATTTTTCTCGAGTAGATCAATAAAAACATCGAACAAAATATGATGAAAACTAAAGTAATGTTCTTTCATTCGACCATTATAATTCGTTTATTGAATTTCACGGTGCTAGAACAGAACGTCGCGGCTCATTTTGAGGGTTCAAAACAAATTGCCAGTAAACCTTTGTTGTTGAACAGTGGATTTTTGATACACCCTCACTGAGCAATACGCCTGCGACGTTTTGTCCGGTCACCGAATTTCGCAATCTGATATAGACTCAATTGATAGTTTCTACTTGCAATTTTTAGTCCTGGATCATAGCAATTGATTCAATCCTTTAGTACGAGCACTTATCGTATATTAATCCATCATTCTGCTTATAATCAATGGGTAAACCTGGAAACATTTCAGTATAATATAAAACAAGGTCTTAGAAATAGCACTACAAATTTCTTTAGATACATCTAAATCTGTTGTTTTCATACAGCTTGTTGCAAACTAAATGATTGAAATTTTGTGTTTAAATGATTATCCATTTTTGATAACAAAACAAAGATGCAAATTTTCATAAACGACATGATCTTCATTTATATAAAATTCATACAAGATTTGTTTTAACGCAAGAAAGAAATAGTTAGAGAGAAAAGAGAGACAAAATAAAGATGACAAGAACTACACGCAATAAAATATCGACTGAAGTCTCTCTTTATTTTCAATAGTCTGTACACACACACACACACACACACATAAACAATCTGAACTAACACATCCGAGACCAAAATAAGAGGATGATACATAAATATACATTGATGAAGGAGAAAAAGAAGAAAAAAAAGGACAGTGCACAAAACAAAAACTAATGCTTGCTCGGACATTTTTGTTTAAAGATTTATATATGTATGTATATATATATATATATATGTGTGTGTATAGAATTTTAAACGACACCTGAGTTGAGAGAAGAAAACAAAGTTTTTGCAATCACTAAGATGATTGATCACTATTTTGTTTAAATACTTTTGTTTGTTCATTTTCATCATCATTATCATCTAGTTTACGTTTATTTGTTATTGTATATGAATTACTGTTATTTTCTTCTTCTTCATCTTCATCTTCATTTTCGTCTTCATCATCATTATATTGATCAGCAATACTCGATAAAGCTGGACTCTAAAATTATATTAAACAAAAAAAAAGAATTGATTTTATGTTCTTATCAATATTCATACCATAGCATAGGGAGATGCAGGTTCAATTAATTGTGATGATGTCGGTGAAGACGACGTATCAACTGGAAGAGCGGCTGTTGTTGATGATGTCGGTGAACGTTGTATATGAATACTAATTACAGGTTTATTATAATGAGACCGTGATGATGTTGGTAGTCTATTATCATTATTATCATCATCATCATCTTCTTCTTCATCATCGTCGTCATCATCATCATCTGCTAAAGAATGATGAGATCTCGGTGGTTCACTGGTTGAAATTGCACTAGTTGTTTCTGGTTGACTATCTTCATCATCAGAACTATTATTAAATAATGTACCATGATTAAATGATGAGATTTTATTTTCATCTGTATCATCATTAAACCAATTTTCTTCATCAATATCAAGATCACGTTCATCTTTTCGAAGACGTTGAACTGATAATAGATGATTGGTATTTAGATTATCATGGAAACGAGATGTACTACTTGTTGGTGAACTAAAACAAACAAACAGATCAAAAGTTATTCACACCATTTAGTCTATATCTAATTGGGAATAACATTCGTTAAATTACAAACATTGAAAGTCGAACGACATTCTCAAACAAATCCTACTAGATACATATGAATAGGAAAAATTTGATTTGCAGAAATCACTAACGTTAGAAAAAATGAATTCAGAAAATTATAGTCTATTAAAACTCATCAATATCGGAATATCTTCCGTATCCTGTTTGGGTCACTTCAATCTATGACGATCTGTTTTTGCTTTCTCGAAGCAAATCATGGGGGTAACAACGGACTTCAAGACTTCAAAAGATTTCAAAGATTTTAGAAGACTTCGATAGACTTCGCAGGTTTCAAAAGACTTCAAGAGATTTCGAAAACTTCCAAGACTTTATGTATGGAATCTCCATTGTTCCTCCCTCGTCTCCCCGTGAAATAAATGCACCTATAGAAATTCAGAAGATTTCATGAGATTTCATGAGACTTCAGGCATAAAGTCTCTGTTGTTTACCCCTTGAAGCATATGCATTTTTATGGTACTCGTACAAGAAAATATCGTCCGTTTTTGAGTGTCATTCAAACCTATATAGGTTAGTTCCTATAACAAGTGGTTACTTTTTGAGAAGTCAATATCTCGAATAAGAAGCGTCCTGATCAATACTTATTACTACTAGCGGACTTAAAACAGTGATGCAAAGAACTCTGGATGTAACCCATTACGTTCTAAAATCCATTCTATATTTACCTATCACTAAGTATTCGTTCTCTTTTGTCTCTATGAGCATCATAACGTAATTTTAAATCATGAAATGTTTTAACATATGTTATTGATTCGAAATCTGTATAGAAACTTTCCACAAAATAATTAATTAATGTTTTGATATCTTCCTAAAATAAAAAAGAAATTTTAATGATAATAATAATTTTAAATTCAATTACTTGTCGAATAAATTCAAACAATTCAATCAATGCTGAATTTAATAAATTATATCGTCGTTTATTAGCTTTAAATGCATCGACAATAGGTGCAAATAAATTACTTCGAGCAATTGTTAAATTGTACTGTTCATCTTTTAAACCAATAATTTTTCTTAAGAATCTAAGTGCACCTTGAATTAGAAAAAAAAATGATAAAATATTCAATCGAAGTAAAATTATCAAAAGTTTTCTTACTCAATTGTAAAAATTGATGTTTAGATTTTAATAAAACAAGTACACGTCTAAGTAAATCTTTTTTATTAAGAAAATTTCTCATATGATATGTATGATGTTCAATACAAAATGTAACAAAATCAAGAATTAAATTTTGTAATTGTGCTATATGAAAATCATCACGAATTAATTTTAAATCCGATGAATTAGCCATTAATGGAGCAAGTAATACAGACATTGAACGAAAATAAAAAAATGATAAAAATTCTGTTTTTTCACTTATTGATACAGCCATCATATTTTCTGGATCAATTAATAATTTTAAATAATTCATTAAATTAAGTGCACCACTTAATTCTAAAATGAAGTTTTATTATATTATTTATTTGTTAAATTAATAACTATGATATTAACCTGGATCTGGATCACTTTGAATTTCAGATATAACTAAATTCAAAAGTAATTCATCATCATCTTGTGTTGATTGAGTTTCTTGTAACATATATTCACGTACTGTTGAAGGATTACATTCAACTATGGAAGCAAATACATCAAGTGCAGCTTGTTTTGTTGTTGTATCATCCAGACTCTATTTATTTCAATTTAAATATATGTGTAGTTTTTTTTTGCTTAGAAACATATTGATCACTTACAAGCATTACTTGAATTACATTTAGGATACCATGAGTCGCAAGTGCCTAAAATTAAATAATGAGTATTGGAATATTAAAGAATATCTTTACAATAGGAAATAGGATTTCTTAATCTTGATATTTCATTGAATCCAATAGAATTAACTTCTACTGTTATAATAGATACTAATTTAATAAGACTTGTCTGGTACATCCGCTAGTGATTCCGACAAGATTTTATCTACTTAAGATCATATTGCGCGGTATGGACGTATCTTTTCATATTAAGAAGAAAATGAATTCAACTAGCAATACTCTATGCTCGAGAAACATCTTCAATTATTATGTGTTTTCCTGAATTTTACTTCGGAAAAACTGTAATGTTCATGTCATGTTTGGGATTACATCATCAATATGAAAATTGATCGTTGTTTGTATAAGCACCGTTAGAGTAATTACATATCCGACTTATTGACAGGATTTTATTACGAAAGAAATCATACAATAGAAACTACATTCTTAAAATTTATTCTTTCTCTTAATCAATAAAAAGTAAATTAGTTATTGATACTTACAAGACGTTTATTTTGACTGTAGGTAAATAATATTATCTTGTGCATGATAATATTACGAATGGGGAAACTAAGGTGTCCTTTCTTATTCACACTATCATAATTAGAGAATCTATATTTATAATCAAGATAAACATCTTTCATACGCGCGTGTATATCCGAAATCGGTCAATTTAATTCGAATTAACATCAATTATTTGATATTATCAGATTAACCAGTAAAAGTCGAAATACCCTTTCTAATAATTGCAACACAACATGTAACCATATTTTTAAAAATAAACCTAGTGTTTCTGAATAATACGCCGGTAGAATAGGGGTCATAGAGAAAGACAAAAAAACCTCAATTTTGAGTAACTGTCAAACATAATTCGCTTTTTGATTTTGATTTATCCGTAGTCACACCATAAAAATTTGTTTTTTTAAGCGATATCATGATGCGTATTATCAGGCTATTGAATGAATCCATCCCGTAAAGCTTTAACCCGATATCTCTTGGGAGCGACATTTTGTATCTCTATAGGAAAAATAAATATCTTTTTTAGAACTATAACTACTCTGGTTTTGACATTAAATGCAATACGAACTTAACAAATCTATCAATACTAATTTGATTGATATATAAAAAATGATTTACAACCCACAACGGATTCTTACGGATCAGTTCTTTCATAATTTTTCACAAATAAAGGTGAGATAGCTCTATGATAATTACGTCTTATCGTTTACCCCTACACCAATGTGCGTCAAAAAGTAGTCGAATGATTTACTTGAAAGAAATTATCTCTATTTTGTTGTTGTAGTGTTTGTGAAAATACACAAAATTCTTTAAGAAATAACATAAGATCTTTGCGTTTATCATCTGGTAAATTATCATCTTTTAATGTTGCAAATAATTGACTAAGGAACTTTGGATCTTCCTACAACAAATAAATAAACAATAGAATAAATTCTTAATAAAATCTATATCTTACATAGAGCAATGTAACAATTTCCACTTTATTAAAAAATAAAAAACTATTCATTGTTGATAATAGATTTTCTTCAAATAAACTTGGTGCTGGTAATATTGCATCTTGTATATATTGTATTCTATATGTTTGATGAATTTTAATTAATAATTCTTGATTACCTATGGGTATAACTTCTTTAAATGTTGCTTTTTTATCTAAAAATTCTCTATGATTTCTTTTTGTTTTAAAATTTAATTGTGGTTCATATTCTAAACAACCAATAATATCCATAATAAATTCATCACTAAATAAGATTTCAAATAATGTTGATTTATTTAAATAAAATATTGAACGTATGATTTCAAATAATTGATGTAATGAATCAATATTTTCTAAATCTTCACATATATGATATAGATCAATTAATTTTCGTATATAATTTTCTGATTCAATTGCACGTGCTATAAAATCTCGTCGTGATGCATCACGAACTTTATCTGGACTAAATAAATCACATATATCACGTAAATGTGATAAATCAACTGGTGGTAAATTTATTGTTGATGATAAATAATTTTCATTTGATTCAACACATTCATCATCAGATTCATAGATTGCTGAATCATTTGTTAAATTATTGGTTGTTGTTAAATAGGAAGAATCTTTTCCTTGGACCTAGAGAGGAGAGATTCAAATAAATTAATAAAGAAATCTTCTTTTATTTTTGTATATTTACATCACAAATATTCTCCCATATATCATCACAACCAGCTTTTTCTTGAAAACTTAATGCTAAATCATATTTTTCACCTTCTGACCAAACAATTAAAGTTTCCTAAATATATAAAATAATTAAAGATATATATGGATTCGTTTGTGGAACTAACTTGTTGTTTTTGATATTTTGTATGAAGTTGAATTTTTGATTCAAGTAATATTGAACCATCAACTTCTGATTTAACAATAATTGAATGACTTGTATTAGATGTTGTTGGGGATATACATGTTACAAAACCGGTACCACGATCGTCCCATTGTCGTTCTTCATTTAACGTATAAAGTTTAACACGTGATCGATTATTAGATGCAGGCGTTGAAGAAGAAGAAGAAGTAGAAGAAGAACTCATTTGTCTAAAAAAACGTTAAGTGAATTTCTTTTTCTATTCAATAAGATTAATCAAAGAAAGAGATGAATAAGAATTACTGGCATCTGTCATGTAGAGAAATAGAAATAGAAAGGGAAAAGAACGAAACGAATAAACAATAATAACAATAAATATTAACCAATTAAAGTTAAATACATAACCTCTTCTTAGAATAATTATATTGTTTAAAAAACGAAATAAAATATATATTTTGTAGGTTTTCAATATTTAATACATAAAAAAATAATTCATTGTAAGTTTATGTTATAGATGGCGGTATATATCGATATGTGAATTCAATGTCAATAATAGACGAAAAGTTAGAGTGGGAAAAAAAATGATAATTAGCTCTTTGATTTGCAGGAGCGTACCGAGGTCTCGAAGGCAGGGTAGTGGCGGCGCCAAGGATGGGCTCAGCCCACCCTGAAATCTTTTTCAGATCTTAAAAGAATCAATGATATTCTATCTGAGCCCACCCTAGTCAAGATTCCTAGCGCCGCCGCTAAGGCAGAGGGGGCGTAACTCCCTTTTTGCTTAAATCTAACACCAAAAAACGCGTAAAAATCTTTATTTTTGATTGTATTAATCAAAAAAAACTAAAATTTTCCAAAGCAGGGGGAGGGCGTAACACCCCACGCGCCCCTGTTGGTTTGTGTGTCTAGTGCATGAATGGATTTTTATCAGTATCATCTTGATAGATAAAAACTATTTCTTTAATCTTTAAAAGCAGAATCAACTGATGCAGTTCTATTTAAGATGAATGAAATTGATATGAGTATAAATTTAAAACAAAACAAATATTTCGAGTTAAATCAAGTTTTTATTATTAATAAATATATCAATATTGATTCATATATGCAATCTGTTGTTTGTCATTACAGAAGAAAATAAGTTTAATAAATTCATCGATCATTTAAATATTTCTGAAAGATTGCCTGTCAATAAGAAAAAGGTATGACTTCCAGAATTCATTTTCTTATTAAATTTTTACAACGTCGTTTTTTGGTACGTGAAGGTAATTATAACATAGTTCATAAGAACGTACTACATGGATTGTAGGACATTCCATTTTTTTTCTATAAACATACAACATTGTAATTCTATCTAAGTAGAAAATCTCTTTATTTCAGAGTACAAATATTGTAAAACTATACAAGTTGAATATAATACAAAAAAAAGTGATTATTGGAATGTAAATTTTGAGAAAAAAAAACACAAATGATAGAATGATTAAAAAAACAGCTAATATAAACGGATAAATAATGTAACAAAAAGTGTAAACATGAGAAGTATTAATGAACTACGTATATTATCTGAGCCGAGCTAAAAAATAAATTTTCAAATAATATTATATATATATTAATAAAATATTTCAAATTAACATACAACAACATATCGATTGCATCGATCTCCTTGACAACATTCTACACATGCCCAATCTTCATACCAATTACGTGTACAGACAGTTGCCAAACCATAGAGAACTAGTTTATTTCATAGAATAAATCATGAATTATATTAAGTAAATATAATACTTACGACGAGTACATGAATCTCTTGTATCACAACCTTTAGAAATATAATGTCGACGTTCACCACGTGGTGTCCTAAATATTAATAAAAAAAATATTTTTTCATTATTATATTATTCAAATAATTATTACCATTCGTGAGGTGTTGTCCAAAGAATTAATGTTGCACATGTATCTTCATATCTTTGACACATCCGAACAGTTTTAATACATTTATCATCATTTCCTTCTTGTTGTTCACATACATAACATTCGAGTGCATGAGTAACTAAATTTAAGGAATTGAAATCATATATGTATGAAAATATTTTTTTATTTACCTGAGAGAAAAGTAAAAATAAAAAATAAAGAGATATAAATCACATTCATGATCTTTCCTTCTATTCAATCTACAAGGACAAACAAAGCGGACACTTCATGTACATACGAACGATGAATTTTAAAAATATTTATGATTGGTGATCGAAAAAGAAGGAATGAAGTTTAAAATTAAAGAGGGCGCGCAACATTGTGGTTAGAATAAAAATTGTAGTGAAAAAGAGCGTCTATCAGGTATTCGAGTTACTACAACAGTTTTCTTCATTTCATGAATAGCAGGACACTCATATTCTAACAAAAGTAATGCAAGGAATAATTTATTGATAAAAATCTTACTCTGTATGAGTAGAAATAAATGATCATTAATTCGTAGATAAATTTATAGAGATATCCAAGAGTGATGTTTATATTAATGCATTCAGATATCATCATATGATGATAATGAATTTTTCAGTTGTAAACAATTCATCTGTAAAGAATTGGAATGTGCTAACGAAGAAGAAATTTTGCAGTATCTCCATTGTACACTCAATAATACTATCAAATTTTATTAGTTAGTAATTGACTTATTCCTCGGAAGAAAGTATAATAGAAAAAAACAAGATAATCGTTTAGAATATATAAACCCATTAGTAGAGAAAACTATGCACTATTTCTATTAAGGATGATTACAATTTTCAATAAAAACAATACTGATACTTTCAATTTATATTTATTTCCTATCATGATGATCAATTTAAATAGAGTAATTTGTTTTCATTGAAAAGTAATTGAAGTATTAATATTTTCGTAATGATAAATAAACATGTCTATCAAAAATACGATTTAATTTCTACAGGTGAAAAAAAACCACTCTAAATTTATTAGCTCATCAATCATTAAGCCACGCGTATGTATAAAACCCTATCATATGTCGACACTTTATTTAGTTAAAAAAATGACTAATTTATTGTATAGTTGGTCCGTTCTTCTTCATCATCCATCCATTCTTTGACGTTTTATTATGATTGCTGTAGTAAATTCACCAATAAGAAACTTGTTTTTTCTTATTCTTTTATTTCATCACCTTGTCTTTCCGTAATAAAATATAAAAGATCTTAAATATCTTAATATGGGAAATACTGATTCAAAAATTGATTTTCGTGTTGCTGTTGTTCAATTAACATCACGCAGTCAGGTAAAATATATAGATAAATAAAGAAAATAATAAATAAATAATCTTTAATTTTTAAAGCAAATTGAATCTAATGATGAATCATTTTGGGATCAATTTTGGTCGGATAAAATTTCTAGTGTTCAAGATATATTTGCATTAGTACCAGCTGCAGAAATTCGAGCATTAAGAGAAGAATTACCATCAAATTTAGCAACTTTATGTAATAAACTTGTTGATCGTTTACAAGTAGCTGCAGAAAATTCATGTCAAACCCAACGAGATCAAACTGCTGGTTAGAAAAACTACGAAGATTTTCTCTTTTAGAAATTTTAATCATCTTCTTTGTTTAGCAATTAATTGTGTTCGATTACTTACTCGTTTATTACCATATATATTTGAAGAACCGGAATGGCGAGGTTTCTTTTGGTCTGATATTCCTACTGGACAACAACAAACAACATCAAATGGAGTAAATATTTTATATATATTCAAAGATAAACAATGATTATTTCGTCTATTTCTAGGAGTATACTAATAAACCACCGTTAGCTGAACGACTTCTTCAAACATTAGCAGTAAAATGATCTTCTTTTTATTTTTGCTTATGTTATTGATTGATTTTTTTTCTCTCAAAAGGATCTTTTATTCTGTCCGGATTTTACAGTTTCTTCAAAGAAGAAAAAAGGACCAGTACGTAAAATTTTGATTTTTTCAATAAAATTATTTATTGAGTTTAATTTTAGGATAATCCGGAAGATATTCATACAATTGATAGTTGTGAATATATTTGGGAAGCTGGTGTGGGCTTTTCTCAATCACCTGTACATACACCAAGCAACGATAAAAATCGAACAGAAATTCTCAAACTTTTACTTGTTTGTTTTTCGGAAACGATTTATATGAATCCAACAGGTAAAAAAATATTCTATTTATGCAATAGTTTTTTACTACCGAAGAGAATTCGCTGAAGACTATAGATGAAAGTTAGTTCTTATTACAAAGAACCTTATAGAACACATGTATCATAGTGTTTTAATGGTCAAAAAAAGTGAGCTCGAAATTTAGAGTTTATGGATGTCTAGTTTTCACTGAAAATCTCCGCTCAGAACTTTAACCGTCTGTTTCTGATTGCTCGTATAGCTACTCTGAGTCGACTGATTTTATTCTAGAAAAAAAACATGGAGTTAAACGTTGGAATTTGTTGAAATACCACAAAATCGTAAACTCCAAATTTTAATCTCACCTTTTTGACCTGTTTTAATTCAATCTCGAGATTTTATGTAAAACGTAATAATGAATTACCTCTTCTGCCTTTATATGTTGACTTATGAAGATTGATGTAGTCATTTAAACAGCATATAATTAACTTAAAATCTTCGCCTGAAGCAATACGCAGTTCTCATGATAGTTGAGTTACCTACATATAATATCATTTTATTTTTAGCTGAATTACATTCTCATTCCAATAAATGGTTAACTTATTTTACATCCGGTCATAATCGGTAAATCGATTCTTTTCAAATAAAAGAAAAATAAAGAAAATCTTCTATTTTATTTAGTCAAACATTACCATTATTTACTTCGTTAATAAATATAGTATTTTCTTATGATCCGGTTGGTTATTTACCATATAATTATCTTTTATTTACTGATACACGTGAACCTCTAGTCGAAGTAGCTGCTCAATTATTATGTATAACACTTGATCATAGCAGCACATCAATATTAGCCGATCAAGCTCCATTATCACCAACAAATCAATTATCATCAGGAGATGATTGCCCGAATTTATTTGTAAATTATTTATCACGTATTCATCGAGATGATGTATATAATATTTTTTCGAATTAGCATTTTAAATTGAAAAAAATCTTTATTCTTCTTAGGATTTTAGTATATTATTAAAAGGTTTTTGTCGATTATTAAATAATCCACTTATTCAAACATATTTACCTGGTTCATGTAAAAAAATTGGATTCTATCAAGAATTACTTATTTTATTTTGGAAATTTTGTGATCGAAATAAGGTTTGATTTAATTAAATAAATAAATTCATTCATTTTTTTTGTCTCATAGAAATTTTTATATTATGTTTTAAAATCAACGGAAGTACTTGATGTACTTGTACCTATTCTTTACTATCTTAACGATGCTCGTTCGGATACATGTAAGAAAATTTTTCTGTTTGAAATAAAATTAAAATTCTGTTTTTTTTCAGCAAAAACGGGTTTAATGCATATTGGAGTTTTTATTTTATTATTATTAAGTGGTGAACGAAATTTTGGTGTAAGATTAAATAAACCCTATATTACACGTGTACCAATGGATATACCGGTATTTACTGGAACACATGCAGATCTATTAATTATTGTATGATGATGATTTCAAGAAGAAAAATAAATACACATATATTATTTTTAGGTTTTCCATAAAATAATTGTTTCAGCACATCAACGTTTACAACCATTATATGATTGTTTATTAACGATTATTGTGAATATATCACCCTATTTAAAAACATTATCAATGGTAACAAGTAACAAATTGATTCATTTACTTGAGGTTTGAAAAAATAAAAAACGCAACCGAAATAAGAAATATTTCGTTTGAATTTTAGGCATTTAGTTCACCATGGTTTCTTTTTGCTGCATCGGAAAATCATCATTTAGTATTTTTTCTTTTAGAAGCATTTAATAATCTTATTCAATATCAATTCGATGGTAAAATTTCTTCAAAAAGATAAGCAAAACATAATATTCTTAATTTTTTAGGCAATGCAAGTCTTATTTATACGATAATTCGTAAACGACAAGTTTTTTTTGCATTAAGTAATTTAGCTACTGATACACAAACAATATCAAAATTAAGTTCAAAATCTTTTGCGTCAAATTCATTATTAAAATCAAGTCCTGATAAATCCGAGAAAAAACAAAATTTTTTTCATACAAATTCAAAATCAAATTTGGATGAAAGCGCCACCGGGCAAAGAGAACAATTAATAACAGGAACAATAAATAATGCTATGATAACAACATTAGCAGAAACACCATGTGAGTGTATGAATTCAAGATAAAGATCAGCAGATTCGATATAAATAATAGTTTTTTTTACGGGTCTTGTGACGATACACAAGTGCTAAACTAAACATAGGATATTTTTAGTTGTATTAAAAAAAGAATCCATAGGATTTGATAAAAAAAAAATACACAGGAAGCTCTACTATCCATTAAAATCGAAGATTAAAAGAAAAATCAACGCAATAAATAGATCTGATGAGGAAAACTTTTTATAGAATATTTATATTGTTTACTTTACTATTTTCGTAGCTATTCATAAAATGACTGAACGAACTTTGGCTGCTTCACCAAATTTAGACGATAATCAACATCTACATTCGAGTACAGATAATGAAATATCACCAAATGCAACTCAAGTATAGAGAATTCTTTCGAAAACTTATTTCTCATATTCATTTTTTTTGTGATTAGCCTTCTTCACCAACATCACAACATGGTGGAACTATTTCAAATCAAAATTATCAATCAGATAGCGGTATTTGGTCACCAACATCTCAATGGGTGCAATCTTGGAAAGGAAAATTACCATTACAAACGATTATGCGTGTTCTTCAAGTACTTGTACCACAAGTTGAAAAAATTTGTATGGATCGTGGTTTAACAGATGAAAGTGAAATAATTAGATTTCTTCAACATGGTACACTTGTTGGTCTTTTACCAGTACCACATCCAATTTTAATTCGTAAATATCAACCAAATACGGGTACAGTTATGTGGTTTCGTACGTATATGTGGGGTGTTATTTATCTCAGGTAAATCAAGAATAATTAAAGATTGTTGGTTAAATAAAAAAAAAATTCTTTTTTTTCTTAGGAATGTTGATCCACCTATATGGTATGATACTGATGTAAAACTATTCGAAATTCAACGACTTTAAGAACAAAATTGATTTTTTTCTTCTTCTTTATTTCATTGCTTTATCGTTGTCATTATCATTTTATTATTATTATTATGCATAATCTTTTTATTTTATTCATTATATTTTTTCGTCTTCTTCTTCTGACATTTATTTTAAGTTCTGATAAGAAAACATTGTTATTACTATTGAAGTTAGTTGTGCAGTTCTTCTATTGTTGATGTTGTTTTTGTCATCGGCATTGTCGTTGTGTCTATCGGTGAATGTTTTAAAAAAATAAAATATAAACATGATATTAGTCATTAAGATCATTTGCTCTGTTAAATTTGAAAAGAAAGAGAAAAAAAAGCGTAAGAATAAAAACAAAACTTCATTTCACTTGTTGAGTATATATATTTGTTCTTCAAAAAAGCGCAAGTTGTTCACTTCAACTACTTGAAATTTATAAGAAAAATAGTTTCATTTCGTTATCGGTATCGTTAAATTTCATCTTGTTTTGTTCTCATTACTATTCCATTCTTTTTCTTTCTTTCTTCTTCTTTTTTTCTCACATTCTATTCAATTCTACATTCTTACTCTGTTTTTTTTCACTCTTGATGCACCTCTCACTTCTATTGACACATCATCATCAACATCCAAAATATGTCTCGTCTAACGATGTAATATTATTGTTTTTATTCATCATCACTTTCATATAATAAAGTAGACCTATCCAACAGGCCAATTATTGCATATACAATCGTTTATTCGTCGATGTCTGCGTCTTTTGATGAAGTAAAGGTGAGAAGAGAAAAGAAAAGAAGAGAATAGTTGATCCTATCAATGGTCACTCATTCATACTCAGTCAATGTAATTTTTCGGAAATATCTTTACGTAATCATATGAGATCTAAATAAATGTCAAGTTTGCTTATTATCAATGAGATTCATTACTAGTTTATGAAAAGGAAATACATTTGTTAGCTGATGAAATCAACTGAAAAAAGGTATAACTTTTTATTCTTTCTTTATTCATAAATCAAAAAAAATCCAACTTATAATTTTCTTTTTCTTCTTCTTCTCCTTCTTCTTCTTTTCTTCTTTTTTACGATGTAAATAGAACTGAGTAAGTATATACAAAAATACAAAAAAAAGAGAGAAGTTCTTGAATAAAAAAAAAACAGCAAAAATGTCATGCGTTCGTATTACAAAAATAACATTTACTCTAAAATTCTGCTAAGACCAACGTTATAAGATATTTAAAAAACCACAAAATAATGAAAAAGTTTGTCAACCTTGATCTACAGCTTCGATGCAAGAAAAAAAAGACTTTCATCGTAATATTTTCTCTTCGTCTTTTTTTCTTAAATGTTGACTGACCTAATTTTTTTTCTTTCTTCTTCTCCTTCTTCTTCTTTTGCAACAACTTGTTTCCGTTTTCTTTTTCTCACTCATTTTCTTCTTCTTTGGATAAAAATCAATTGCATGGTATGCAGGTCAGCACAGTATACATATTATTTGTTTCTCTCTCTCTCCCTATCATTCTCATACTATTATAAGAATGGACATGATTGTGTAATTGTATAGGATTGCATAGTCATGATCATCATCATCTATCAACATTTTTCATACTAATAGGAGACAATGAGAACAATAGTTTTCTAAAGATAGATTAGTACATTTAAAAGAAATTTTATATGCGTTACAAATGTTACTCGTTCATGGATTGAAAAGATCAGTTCAAGTATATAGATTGATGGTATGGTAAGTAAAAACTTAATATTATATTTCAATTTTGATTTTTTCAATATAAGTATAGGATTGATTGATTAGTATGTTCAATAAATGAGAAAATCTGTTCAGATATGAATAGAATAAAAAGAAAAGGAAGCGGTCGAAATCTATTTCTAAAGGGTAAAAAAGGTCATAAATGTTCGGCGATGAATAATAGTTATAGTAACGCATGTATAACATATTTTATAGTCATCGTACGATGAGTTGAATCAAAGGTTGTCATCATTTTTTTCTCTCCTATTGATAACATGTGTGTATACATATATTTTCTTGAAGGTTTCGTTTACCTGCTGTTTTATTCATTTACACAGATTCATCTAACAAAAATGTGTTCAATAATGTCTCTCATTTCTATTGTTAACTTAATCTTTTTAACACGAATGATATGTTTATATTGAACATGCATGTATTTAATCGTGTAAATATCATCGAAAGAAAAAATGAGTGTTATTATGTTTTGTCGAGAGGTGAATAGAAGATTGTATATTCAATTGTTTACACTAATCTATCAGAGAAATTTGAAGACAATTGATCATTCATCCCCATCAATAGTACTCAGGTATATTAACATTTACTTCTTTTATAGATAGAAAGAATAAAAACGAGACAGTAAAACATCATCATTCGCTTTTTTTTAATAAGAGATGAAGGGTAGGAAAGAGAAGAAGACGAAGAAGAAGAAGAAGAAAAGTAATAGTGTACTGTAGTAGCAATAACAGTAGAATTGTACGACCTTGTTCGGGTGTATGAAGTACTCCGGCTGTTACAATAAATGTCTAGTTATTTATTTTTTTTATAGATGTGATTGATTTTTTTTTCTTTTCAAAAAAATGACCTGGTGCGCGAAAATTTATGATATTTTCAATGGATGGAATGAAGAGGAAAATGGATTACCTACAATAACAAATAACAATGTAGGTGAATCATTGAAAATCAAACGAATTAATTCAGATTTATATCGATATCAACCAAATGATAATAATACACCTGTTATTCAACATGATAGTCCATTACTTGAAAGATCTGAATCGTTAACAACTACACAATTGTATAACAATGATTATTTAAATCGGTATTAAAAAGAAAAAAATATATTTATGACAGAACAAAGTTGATTGATTTTTCTTTTCGTTCTTTTTCAGTCACGATTATAGTGAAGAACATATTTATGCTGACACAATCTCGACATGTCAGCAACATGATGGACAATATTATTTTAATCCTGAACAACGACATTATAGTATCGCAACAATGTAATGTTTATTCATGTTTTTTTAATCATAAATATTACTAATTTCGTTTTTCTTCTTCTATTTTAGTTCGCATATGTCACTGGATCTTTCAAAGTATGTTTTTCTTTTTACCACTAACCGACATATTTTTTTTGTGTCGTTTTTTTTTTCTTCTCCTATTACCTCCTACACACTTATATTTGTCGTTCTTATTTGTATTCATAAATTATACTCACTCGATATTGGTCATGTATATAAATTATAAGATTTACTGTATATTTAAGGTCTTTGAGTAAGAAAGAAGAAAATTGTCAGCAACAACAACAACAACACCAACTTTCACGAAGTTATTCATTTGATTTTCCAATGGAATTAAAACGAAATCAATGTAGTTTACCATCACTTGATTATGTACAACCTCGTGTCAGATATTCAATGAATCCACAATTAATTAGACAAAGTATGAATTTAGAAAGGCCCAGTCGATCATCACTTAAACATGTTGCCTTACATAATAGTCAAGCTTCATTACCAACAAGAGAGGTATGCAGATTTTTCAATCAGTTAAAAAATATATGTGTTTTTTTTTAAAAATTAATTGAATGCAATATTGCATGTTAAGATGGAAATTATTACTTATGCAGTAGCATTTATTTATTTATGTCTATATTTTCTATCGTCTATATTCTGTTATCTTTTATAAATAACTCCAGAGACAATACTTAAAAAGCAGTCTGTTTATAAAGCACCGTGACCTTTTAAATATAAACTAATCGATATGATTTCTTATAATTGCGTACTTCGTTTAGTAATAGTCTACTATATTATAGGGTGTTGTTATTAAAAACTTTTTATTTTGTTAAAAAAGAATAAGCATACGAGTAAGATTCTATATATATATATATATACGTTTTTCCGATGAAGTCTATGAACATGCAAAAGAAAAATCAGACATTCAAAACACTGATGGTATGTATTATGAATGAACAATAAATAGAAATTATATAACGAACTAATAAAAAAACAATATATTGTATCACATAGTTACAGATCAAATACACATTCTTTTGTGTTTTTATTAATCTAGAAATTCAATTCGATTGCTCATTATAAAATAATTTAATGATGTATTATGAGAATCGTTTTATTATTTAGGACTCATTTACTGGTAGAATTTCAACACGTTCAGCATATTCTACACTTGATTATGAAAGTAGTGAATTGCAACCTCGAAGTAATGATGAAGTTCAACAAGCAATTGAATATCATATAAAACAAGTATGTTAAAAATTCTTCTAGGTTTTTTCTGTCGTGGATAAAAATAAATAATTTTTTGTTTTCAAATCAGATGTTAAATGAATCTCCTAATGGTGTTTTTCCAATGATTTATCGTTTACCATCGAATGACATGTTATATTCTAAAGATCGTTATCGTGTTGAGGGTGGTTATGATGAACCATCTCAATGGATATTTAAAACGAAAATTCTTCGAACTGATTGCCGAATTGTATCAGATAATATCGCATCTATTTATACAAATAATTTTTATGATCAAGTAAATTACAAAAACATTTTCGCTTATTTTTAAAAAACTTCTTTTATAGTATCATTATGATATATATGCAGTTGATGATCAATTTAATCCCGTTGTTATGTCAATCAGACCACAAAATGATGAATTAACTGTTATTGTACGTACACAAGAAGGTTCAAAGTGTATGAAATTTATTGAAAATGGAAATAATATAACAAATTATATAACTTTATGTCAACAACTCTATCCAAATTTACAAATTGATCATTTTGAAAATTGTACAAATTTTAAAGCTCAACAATTTATTAAAGCCTATGATGAAAAATTAGAAACACAAAAATTTAAATTTGGTATTATTTATCAACGAAGAGGACAAGTATATTATATATTTCTATAAAAAGAAAATAAATATTAAAGTATGTTTTTGTATTCTAGACTACCGAAGAAGAATTTTTTAATAATGAAAAACACAGTCGAACATTTGATGAATTTCTTGATATAATAGCAACAAGAGTATCATTGAAAAATTTTCAAGGGTATTTATTTTAATAGTTTTTTTTTTCTGTTTGGTTCTACTATTTTGTTTCTTAGTTATCGAGGCGGTCTTGATACAAGTGAACAAACTGATTCTCCAATATCTTATTATGAATGTTATGATGAAAAAGAAATTATGTTTCATGTTAGTACATTATTACCTTATACACCAAATGATTCAACACAAATACAACGTAAACGTCATATTGGGAATGATATTGTTACAATTGTTTTTCAAGAAGAAAATACACCATTTCATCCCAGTATGATAAAATCAAATTTCCTGCATGTATTTCTTGTCATACAACCAGTTCAAATACTATCAAGAACATGTTATAAGGTAAGTTTTTAGTTTGGAAAATCTGGAAATAAAAAGTTTTGTAATTGTGGTTGCTCAGACGCGTAAAATTATTTGTTGACATAGAGAGAAAACCTTGTAGAAATATATCAGTCAATTAGACTGACATTTATATTGTATATGTTAGGCAGAACGTTTTTGACCGACCTCCATTGTTCTTCGGTTTTCTTTTTCTTGTGACAGGTTGCATTAAGTAACCTCTTTTGAAGGAATGATGTGTTATCGACAATATTTACGTCCTTTGCGCTAGTTTGTTATGGATATATAGTGACCGTAGACTTAACAAACCTTGATTTACTGTTTTTCTCTTGACTGAACAATCTATTATAGCAAGGACAAAATACTTTAAATAGAATGTTTTGTATAAAAACGATTTGACAAATTTCTTGTACATATTATAATGGTTGAAGACACTTGAAGAGTAAAATGAGAGCATAAGCATTCGTTTTAAAATCATAACAAAAAAAAAAGAATAAGTATTATAATACATTTTTACAAGTACATAATAGTTAGAAAATAATTCTATGCATGTAATTATATACAGTAGACAATAAAAATAAAATATCTTCATCACGTTCTAACCTAATGCATTATTTCTTTTGATAATAAAAGATAGTCCTAGACTTTTATTCATATATGTAAAGAGTCTATTCATTGCTATCAAGGACACGTAAACCTAGCACGTTTCTTTTAAATGAAATGAAAATATCCTTTATCTCCATAAAAATCTACATAGGTCAATAAAAATTCGATACCTTTTCTAACGTTTCCTCTAAGGCTTTGTTCTCTCTCTTTCATATACCATGACATATCGATATTCTCCTTGAGTTGAATACAACGAAAGACAATATTTATGAAAAGAGAGACAAGGTATACTAATTATTTAGCGAAATGTAATTCAGAAATTTATTGATACTATGTTCATATAAATAAAGAGATATTGATTTACAAATATAAATTTAGTACTATCGTTTATTTGGTGGAAATACGATTCGTAGACATCCGATATATTAAAATCATATTAACGATATGGTAATTAATAATATATTAACGACAAATAAATTAGTTAGTTCTTTTAGACGAAAATATTCGATAGGCTTGTCATGTTTTTTTCCTTCTGATCAATTTATTATGAAAATAATTAATTATTTCGTTAATGAAAAAAATAGGAATGCATATGTACTTTAAAATAAAAACGATAACGATGATGATGATTCGTCCATTAATTCATATTTAATAGTAATACGGAAAACAAGACAATTATGGAAAAAGTTCGATGAATTTTATATATGTATTCATATTTTTCAACAACGAAATATTTAATTATTTTCATAATAAATCAATCAGACAGAAAAGAATTAACAAAAAAACATGACAAACTAAGAGAAAAATCAGTTATAATTGAAAATAGATTAATACCTCAACGCGCGTAAAATATAACACTAGTTTTGCTCTAAATAAAAATTCAGTAATTATCGTTTTACTCTATCGATAAAAGTGTTACTACTAGTAATAGTGATATATCTCAATCTATCGAATTCGAGTACTGAATGTCCGAAGAAATCTTCTAATTAAACTAGCTTGAATGAGAGAAAAGTATAGGGTTCAAATTTCATACAGGATCATTTTTGACTCTAATCTATTGACGTACGATTAGTGGTATTATTATTCCATAAGCTCTATACATATCAGAATTGATGCGATAATCTATATTAAAAGCACAATAGGATTCAAAAGAAAATATATATGCTGTTCTTTTCATCTGGATTATTATGTGTATTGTCAGGATTAATAAATCCAAATACTTTGACATTATATCGCAAAGTAGCTAAACGTGTTATAAAGGTCAAGAGATCACTGAAAAAAACTTTTCTTAACACATGAGTGTTATTTGAACGGTATTAAATTTATTTTCTTTAGATAATGCTTATTGCTCGTGAAGATATTGAAGAATTTCCTCCAAATCTCTATCGTAATGTTGTTTATGTTCGTACAGCTGAACAATTAAAACCATTTATTCTATCGAAATTAATTAATGCTGAATATGCTGCATATCGTTGTCGAACATTTTCTTTATTACAACAACGTACACGTTGTTCATATCTGAAAACTTTATGTGAAAATTTATCGGAAAAATCTTATGAAACTTTATGTGATGAACAGAAACGTGTTGGTCATCGTCGTCTATCATTATTATCAAATTCAGCAAGAAAACGTTATTTATCATCAATGAAAAAGATTTTTACTAGAAGTAATAGTGCAGCTGATAGTCCACGTCAATCAATAAAATCGAATGAACCAAAAAAAACTAAAACTAGTAAAAAATTAATGCGATTGGGTAAATCAATGGATAGTGTTGAGGATAATCATCGTTTATCAGCGACAAAATCATTACCTACGTAAGTGTTTATTAAGAAAAACACGAAATTTTATATATGATAATTTATTATAGTCAGGAATTCAGACGTGAAAATGATCTCTCAAATCGGTAAAAAAATTTTCTTATTTTTGTTTTGACAAATAATATTATTTTATTTAGAAATGTGAATGGTCGAAGTGATGATAGTTTAAATACTAGTGCTGATATAAGTAATTCAACAATTCAACCATATACTTCTCTTCCAAATCAAGGTTACTATGGTGATGAATCCGATGAAGGATTGGTAAATATATTTATATTTATTCTTTACATATGTAATAACAAAATACAAAATATTTTTTTTCAGGATAGTATGTCATCTGTTGATGCAGCTCGTTTACCATACGATAGTGATGATCAAGATGGTAAATAAAAATTGAAATTTTTTAAATATTATTTTAAATATGATTTATTTATTTATTTAGCTTATCGACAACAAATTCGTGAAAAATCTTATCCAGTATGTATTGAAAAAAACAATTTCGTATTTTTCTTATTATAATCGATTTGAATTTTATCTTTAGAATCCTATATGGTATCCAGCATCATCTACTCAACGTCATATTTATACACCACAGACAGCTGGTATTCATATAAGTGAAGAAGCGACTGTTTAGATTTTTGTTTTGTGTGACCATTTTTGTGAAAAATGTACTTGTCTTTTCTATGTTTCTCAATTTTTTACTTATATGTATATGTGTTTGTTTATTGAATTGTGTTCCCTGGCGTTTCTTCTTCTTCTTCTTCTTTTTTCTATTGTTGTTATATGCATTATTAACAGAGATTATTTTTTGTTTGCGCATTAATATATACATATATATAAATAGAGTTTTTGTTTCAAACTGATGATGTGCATAAATATATATACATATTATATGTCGATAGATCTTATGAGAATTTACAAGGGAAATATCATTATAATTTTGGTAAAGTAATAGGAAGAAAAACTGAAGAATTTTCTGTAGTCAAATCATCTAATCCATATTCAATTTATTATTTTATGACACATACGCCATATGGTGTTCGTCATCTTATCTTAAACAACAGTCAGATTCGATAAATTAAAAACAAATGACTACAATAGTAAAGAGTAATTTAAGTAACAACAATGTAGGATTGTTCTGATGAGAAAATTTTTTATATATATTTTAATTCAATAATGATTATAGAAAATGGTGAAAAAAGTGTTTGTGCTGTAATGTATATTCGATGAACATTTATTTGTACCGTTCAATAGTTTTCATACGCTTCAATAGGTACTTTTTAGATGTTTTTTCAATTGGCGGTAGATGAAAGTGATCATGTAGGTCTTTTATCCACATTAATACAGGTAGTGAATCAATCTTAAGTATATCTATACTAGTATTCACTAAACTGTCTAATCATTTTAGTAAAATGAGTCAACCCATCATTCCACTCGACTTCTTCCTTTGTATTAGTCATACATGAAATGACTAATAAATGATTGTTACATTTCTTTTTTTTTATAAACTTTGTAGACAGTATGATATTATTTAATCGAAATAGAGATGATTATGAGTCATATATATATATATGTAATCATTTTTGATTAATTTTCAAAAAATATAATTGAATCAATTGTACTCGTATTTGATTACTATTACAAAAAAAAAAGAATGATATCTCATTTTAATATGTCTATTGATGAAAATATCCATGAAAACGAGACAAAAAAAAAATATATACATTTTTAGATAATTTTCAATTACAAAAACAAAACGAATTGAAAATTCAATCTTACACATTTCAAAATAGAATTTCACACAACTTTTTGATAAAGTCGTATCATTTATTCAAACTAAACTAAATTCGATACCTATATTATACAAACATTGAGTGAATAGAGAGAGAAAAAAAATAATTGATGTATTAGCACCATCTTATGTAATAACTAAACAAATAAATGTTACATTTAAACTTTATTGTAGTATATCCCTTTTTTTGGTGAAAATCAACATAACTATTGTTAATAATACAGAATAAATGAATAAAACTAACCGGTTGTGATTAATATATCCAGTTTCATAACACTTCCCTTTCTTTTTTTTTATATAAGTAAATATAGTCATACTAATCTCTTGGATTAGATGTTTTTTTCTCAATATGAACATTTTTTATTTAGTTGAATTGATGATATACATAATCAGTTAGATGTAACTATGTAAAGGAAATAAAAATAGGGTATTCATATCATTTATAGCTTTTCGATCTATTTCAACAATGATGAAAATATTCATTTAAAACATCATTTTACATATAGAATATAATAGTAAAATTCATTGAGAACAAACTATTCAAATACATAATACAATAAATTCGATATATATATATATGTTGATTATGCAATTTTCTTCATTTCTAGGTCATATGTAGAGAAGTAAGTAAAGCAATCTTTTACTCGTAACATTCAACACGATCCTTTGCATTGATCATATACTATTTTTTCAATACGATCAGGTCAATAAACTATCTCTATTGAATAAATTAAACTTTTAATCCTGATATGAAAATTTCTAACATATCAGTTATATATATATAAAATTGTTTCAAAAAAAACCTTCATATTCAAGGTTAATATTCTCTCGCATGATAATAAACTATTCTCATAATGTTTTCAAAATGATAAAATCAACATATTTCTTATCTTTGTTCATTTTGTTAAGACAATGGATCTTTATCTATAATATAAATACGCATATATACTTGTCATAATATTGAGCTATGGTCAAAAATAGCAAGCATGTGTTACGATATTTATTTGTATCGGTCATTATTTTTATTTTGTCCAGACATGTTGACCTTTGTGATGAAACTGTGTATTAAGTGAATAGGATAAATAATAACAGAAATGGATTTTGATTGAATTGAATGACCTTGAATTGCCTGCTATGCTATCAGCAGACACGAACATTTTATATAGTACCAATGAAACAGGTGTATTACATCATTGAATACTTCTTTCGTTTTTTTCCTTTTTATTCAATCTTCTATACGCTTTTTCTTTTCGTATGTACTCTTCGTGTTTCTTTCTTTATCCCATTCTTCCTTTTCTTCTCTCTTACCGTCATGCAAATATTGCACACACACACACACACACACACACACACACATGTGTTCTCTTATGCATTTTGTCGCTATCATTTGTTGTAGGTGTTTTTGTCAAATCGTTTGTGTTAAGAGAAGGTGAATACAAAGGATACGATTTTTTGACTATTGGCTATTTGCATTCTTTTCCTGTCTATAATAAATAATAATAATTCATAGCAACCTCCACAACATATTTTTATCGTCAAAATATTACAGGTAAGAATCATACTATTAAGTTTCATAAATGACTCATAGAAAAAGAACACGCAAAGAAAACAATTTTTTAACTAATAATAGCACGCATACATTCATTGAATCAGTGTCTTGTTTTTCCTTCGTCGACTTTACTATATATCAGGTAATATTATGTTTCATCTTCGATTTTAATAAACTATTTGGCTTCTCTAAATGGCAATAAGTTTTTGGTTCATTTTAACCTTTATACAAATACATTTACTGATTAAATCGTAGAGAAATTACAAAGCATGAATACATATCACGACCTCTCATTTCTATATAGGTGTGATTATTGTCCATTTGAAAAAAAAAATAAAACCTTGACATGCAAAGTAAAAATATGTATAATAGTTTGTTGAATATGTATAAGAAGGCGATCGTTTGACATTTATTTAAACGAGAGTTGAGCGGATGGACACTGAGTCGTATGTACATAAATATACTTTTGATCGTTTGTCTATCAACGACGAGTGAGGTAATGAAGACATATATATGAGCTGTATTTAAAATATTTCCTTCTTGAAATGTTAATAGACTAAATACTAAATCTCTTGAATCGAACAAGATATTGATAATAGTAACAAAACGTCAAGAATGATAAGAAAAGTTTATTGACCCTCTAGGCACATTCTGTTTCAATCGTTTTATTGAATGTAATAATCGAAGAAATCCTTCATGGCATCTTATAAGCAAACAGCGTTTACTTTTTTTTCCTTATGTGTGTATATATGTAGGCAGACATTTCGTATTGAACATGTGTGTCTAATTTGCGTTGGTATTTCTTCCTTTTGGATTGTTTGACCTGTGTCTCTATATATGTGTATGTATAATGTCTATCATAAAAAAAACTATAACAGTATGAGATTCAGTTTTTAAAGATCATAGTTAGTGTTATAATATCGATTAAATAGTAAAGTATTTCTTTTACGAGAATAATCATTGAATATTGTTGAAACAAGACAAGAAAAATAAATGAACAATTATAGGATTGTACATATTGAATAGAATTTATGTGAGAGTGTAGGTGGTATCAGCTTTTGTTTCTTATTTTGGATCAATAAAATAGTAGTTCATCAATATTATATAACCTATCTTTCATTTTGATTAGTCTATAATTGTATGGTATAATAGGTGTGATGTACTACAGAATCTCTAATCGTCAATACTTATATAGACCACTTTTTTATTCATTGTCTAAACTAATTTGGTGTACAGGGTCAAATTACATTCATTCACGTAAATGAATATAGTTATTCACACGCCTCCGGTCCGTCATTAAATGAGCGGAGATGGATGCATAAGAAAAAGACAGATACTTTAATCTGTCTTAATTTTAATATTGAGGTCGTCGAACACGACAATGCTATTCGTTTGGATAAAGAGAGTAAAATAAAATTTAAATCAACGAGAGAGAAAGCAAAAGGACAAGAGGGAGAGGGCAAGCGAGAACGAAAGACAATGACCGAAAGGGTGCTATATGTGCTATTTAAAAAAAAAAGTCAGTCGTCTATATATACATTCACCAGCAAAGACGACTGAAAGAGAGTGAAAGGAGAGTAAGAAGAAGAAAAAAAAAATAGAAGGAGAAGTGAAGTTGTTCGTTCCAACTAATCATTATTATTACCATGTGAAATTTCTAGTAAGAAAAAGAATATGCTTTGTAAGTAAATAAGTGACTGATTGCCTGTCAAAATATTAGTGAAATATTCTATTTTTAGTAAAACATAATCAAACGATGGCTACGGCTGTCGAACAATTAGTGATTGATCCTCAATCACGTTTTCTCGAAATGAAATCTCTTCAACCTTATTCAACAACAGATGAATATTTATATGCTATGAAAGAAGATCTTGCTGATTGGCTTTCAAATATGTATCCAGATTGGCAACCAATTACAGCCGATAATTTCCTTGAATGTTTAGGTAATGGAATTTATTTTATTATTACTTTGATAATAATATATATTTATTTATTTTAGAAAATGGTGCACTTCTTTGTCATCATGCTAATAATGTAAATGATGCAGCACGCAAAATGAATTCATTATCAACATTAACAGATTGTAAATTTCGTATTGGTGCTCGACCACAAACATTTAATGCTCGTGATAATGTTTCACAATTTATTAAATGGGCACGACGTATTGCAGGTGTCCGTGAAGTTCTTATGTTTGAATCTGATGATTTAATATTACGAAAAAATGAAAAAAATTTCTTGCTATGTTTACTTGAAATCGCTCGTTTTGGTGCAAGATTTGGTGTTAGTGTACCTGCTATAATTAAACTTGAAGATGAAATTGAACAAGAAATTGCACGTGATAAACAAGCACAAAGTCAAACATTGACAGAATTAAAATATTTACAACGAAAAGAAGCAGAGGAGGAAGAAGAAAAAATCAAGGCGAGACGAATCAAAGAAATAGAAGATGAAAAAAATACATTCGAAACAACGAATTATCAATCTATTCATAATAATGATAAACAAATAAATCAGGATCCTTCAAATACATTTTTATCTACAAATCCAAATGGTACTAATTGGTTACATGATCGTGTAACCCATATATCAGAATTATCGAATAATAATAATAATAATAGTAAACAAAGACAAAATAGTGAAGCAAGTGATGATGATAACAGAGCATCTAATGAAATAAATACAACGACTATAGATTTAAATGGAACATCAAAATATGCTCGAACATTAGATGAAAATGAAAATCCAGTTGAAGTACCCAAATATATTCGAACATTTGATGACAGTGAGAATCCAGTTGAAATACCAAAATATACTCAAACGTTTGATGAAAGAGAAGATCCAACTGGAATACCAAAATACAATCAAAACTTCGATGAAAGAGAACATCCAGTTGTAACACCCAAATATACTCAAACATTCGATGAAAGAGAAGATTCAACTGGAATACCAAAACATACTCAGACATTTAATGAAAGAGAGAATCCAACTGGAAAGGCAAAATATGTTCAAACCTTGGATCAAAGAGAAAATCCAAAATATACTCAAACATTCGATGAAAGAGACAATCCAGTTGAAATACCCAAATATATTCGAACGTTCGATGACCAAGAAAATTCAAGTGAAATACCAAAATATACTCAAACATTAGATGACAGAGAACATCCAATTGAACCACCACCATCTTCATCACATTTACATAAAACAGTAAGAAAAATAATTAAAAAATATTGAATAATTAATTATAAGAGAATATTTTTAGGTAATAAAAATTGCAAATTCATGTTGTTGTTCGCAGCGTTTTCCGGTAATACGTATTGGTGAAGGAAAATATCGTATTGGTGAAAATGGTGCAATTATTTTTATTCGAGTATGTACAAGAGAAAAAAGAACGAATATTCATTTGACTATAATATTATTTTTAAGATTCTGAGAAATCATGTTATGGTTCGTGTTGGTGGTGGATGGGATACACTCGAAAATTATTTAAATAAACATGATCCATGTCGACGATCAGGTGGTAAGTCAATTGAAACATAGTTTTTCTTTTATAAAATATCCTTTTTTTATTTTCAAGGTCATCATCGATCTGATCATCATCATAATCATAATCATTCTGATATACCAATTCTTGCTATACCAAATACAAATATAGCACCTAGTACTCAAAAATCGACTCCTTTTGGTAAATCCGTAACAATAAGAACTGACGAATTTCCTTTAGCAAAACCATCTAATCATGATACAAATCTAGTCGATGCTCAACTTGTTATAACTCGAGGTGCTGATGGACGTCATCGTATTGGACAAATAACTTATAAAAGTGAAGAAGATATTCTCAATCAACAACAGCTATCATGTCCTCACCATCATCATCATCATCATCAATCACCACCAACAGCAAGAATCAAAAGTGCTCGTAGTACAGGACATCTTACTCCTTCATCAATTTATAGTAAACAATCATCACCAAGTACTGATCAAGATTATTCCTCACTAACTGAAACTACACCTAGTAAACCATCATCATCATCTTCATTAGATTCAAAAGATGATTCAATCGAACAATCATTCAAATCATTAAACATAACTTCAATTGAAAACGAACGTGTTCGAAATTATTCACCTGTAGTTAAATCTCATACACAACCACTTATTCATACGAATGATTATTCAATAAATCAATCGGATCAACAAGATATTAATCATTTCAATAATATACGATCAAAAATTACTGAATCTATTATTGGTAATATTGATGATAATATTCATCCTACATATAGTGGATCATCACAACATGATTTTGATCTTAGTGATATTGAAGATGTAATGGAACTTCATAAAAATTTAGTTAATGATAAAGATATAACAACTATGGATAATGATAGTTTAGAAAGTAGTGAAGGTATACTAGAAGAAACAAAGAAATTACCACCTGTACCTACAACAAAAAAGTCAATTGGATCAGCTTCCACACTCTCCGCAGCACAAAAACAAAAACAAACTACTAATCGTAAAAATTCAATTCCTACATCTACTAGTCGATATTCTCCACGTCTAAATTTATTACCGAATGTTGCTCAAACAGTTAAAAAAGAAGAACCATTAAATAAACAACGTCGTAAACCGACAATTGCTACACAAAGATCAAAATCATCAGAATTAGTTGATAAAATAACTGATACATCAAAACTTGATCGAGATTCGGGTTTTGATGAACAAGATTTTCGTACTGAACGTTTACATTCAATTGGTGATGATAATTCAAGTGTATCATCAATGCGAAGTGCTAAAAGTTCAACAATTCTTCATTCAAATAAACTTGAATATAAAGAAACAAAATCTTATGAATTACGTATGAAAAAATTAGATGCTAAACGTATTTTAAATGAAAAAACACAACCAAAATTATATTCTACAGCAAGACGTGCAAGTGATATGATACCTCCAACACCACCAATACATAAATATCGAAAAAATAGTCAATCTACTGTTAATCTCAAACAACAGCAACCATAAAAATAATTGTTTCCCTTTTTAAATAATATTCTTCTAGTTTATTGTATACAGTGATCAAAGACAACTTCTTCTTTTTTTTCCCGATCATCATAACGACATATATCACATTCCATATAATCTTCATTGGTGTAAAAATTTTCTTTATTTGTTTTTTTTTCCAAACGTGACAATTGTTATATTTAAATATATTTATGACAAAATTATGCAAAAAATAATAATAATATATTGTTATTGTAAAAATGGAATGACTAGTAGTGCCGATAAGCTTTTAACTTTATTGTTCATGTCTGGTAGTCAAGTGATACTACGAGTATAAATAAACAATGTCTATATACATAGTAAAATCAACTAAAATACTATTAAATATACGTAACCCAATATGAGAAAGAAGGTCGTAAAGTGATATGTTTATTTGGGATGTATAACATAGTAAACCACAACGAGATTGAGTAAAATCATACACTGATTCGCATAGATAAATAAAAAAAAATATATGAATATATCATCAAGTGTATGATTGGAGCCATTGCCAAATAAGATAATAATACATGGATATGCAATACTTATATGCTATTCACTAACACATAAATAATGAATACTTCTAAAATGTCATGATAGCACAGAATTTGGTGTAATATATAATCAGTTATGAGACAATAGACTTGAACACATTTATAGACAATTGCTAGCCATTCGATGGTTCGCATTACAACAGTGCCATATAAAACTGATAATTCTGTTGAATTATCTTCTAATGAGGTTCGTGTGACTATATACTAGTTCGAGTCATTTTCTCTCATAATCATATATAAATAATTTTATCATAAGAAAAACGATTATATTTTCTTTGTTTTACTTTCAGATATAAATCTTCTCGAAACATAGTAGTTTTTTTCTGTTTTATAAAAGAGAAGAATCACACATGCAGAACAAACAACCGGATTATTGAGCATACATGCATCTGACTGTTAAGAAAACCACACACAAAAAATAAAATAAAAAGAATAATTAAAGTTTAGTAGCATCATGATTCGAAGCATAAAATAAAGAATAATCATCCAGTGATGTTGTTGGTTGATTTATTTCACGTATACAATTCATTTGTGGTATCCAAATATGATTTGGTTCATAGAAACTATTTGCTAATGTTGTTGCATTTAATGGATCATCACCTTCAATTAAAAAATGTGGTGGTAATGGTAATGGTGGTGCTGGTGGTGGTGGTGGAGGTGATGTTGGCATGTATGCATCAATAAAATGTTGTGGTTGTGAAGAAAATTGTAGAAGACGTGATGGAATTTTTGGTTGATCACTTGTTGATAATGTTGAAAATTCTTTATGTGCAGTTAAACCAGATGATGTTGATAATGTTGGAGAATAAATCGATGATATACCAATTGTTTTAAATGCATCTAAATTATTTTTTAAGAAAAATATTAAATTAGAAAAATAGAATTTTTTTTCTGTATATTTACTATTCCAACAAGTTCGTTTTGCTTTTGATGTAACAATATAAAGAATAAAGATGAAAAAACCTGTTAATGAAGCAAATGTACAAAAAAGTATTTGAAATAAAAGACGTATTGGTCCAATAGCAAATAAACCAAATATCCATGTAAGACCAAGTACAACAAAACAACTTAATGCAACTAAAAATCGTGATAAACGTTGTGATTCAGCCACATGTGTACTACGTAATTGTTGACCTGTTTTTCCACATAATAAAGAATGAGCAACAAATGAAAACAGGATACTATTTATAAAAATATATAAACCAATTGGTAAAATAAACGCTAAATATAATGGACGTTCCGATAGCCAACAACTATAAAATAATATATTCATTTCTCGAAGAAAAATAATAGTATTATCTTACATTCCATCCGGTCGTTTTGTATAATTCAATGGATTCGTACTCAAAATGACAATAACAGG